GAAAACATTTGAAGTCCTTGTCAGACAGAAGAGTTCACAGCTGCAGATTCTCTGCATTTCTTTGCACCATCTCCCGTTAAACAATCGGCATGAAAACAGGCAGCAGGGACCCATCAGTGTCCTCTGATCTATTTAAGGCTCGAATTTCAGCCTCCGGTTCACATAGTTTCGTTCAAAGTTATACACAAACCATTTATAGTTAGATCTATAGTTATGCTGCTATAGGCTTAGACTGCTGGAGGACATAGGGACCCATTTTTCATCATTCTGCTTCATTCTATCTCTATTCTCCCACTCTGTAGAATCTGTTAGTTCAATCTCTAATGTTCTGCTCTCTCTGCTTTTTCTCATAGTAGCTTCATCTGGTCTGTTCCTGTTTAGCTGTGACTCCATCCTGGAGAGAAATATCAGCTGTGCTGCTGCCATCAACACCTTTGTTTATAGATGTTGGAGCTTGGCTTGTTTTTCAGTGTAGTCCTGTTTCTCTGACTGTGACTAACTGGATGTGCTCTCTTCATCCTCTGACATGGGAGCTGGCTCAGAGCTCGTCTGCCTGGCTGTGTGTTTCCTGGACGGTTGGTTGACAGTTGCCTTTTGTATCTATGCTTCTTTTTCTATCTCTGCTTCTGTCTCCTTGAACCCCAGTCGGCCTCAGCAGATGGCCGCTCACACTGAGCCTGGTTCTGCTGGAGGTTTCTTCCTGTTCAAAGGGAGTTTTTCCTCTCCACTGTCACTACAAGCATGATTAGTGTGAGGGATTGCTGAAGAGTCAATGAGTCGATGCAATCAGCTGGTTTTCCTTAGATAAAAAACTTTGAATCAATCTGACTGGATGATCTGGTGAACTGGAAAGTGACCTGAAATGACATGTGTTGCTAATTGGCGCCATAAAAAATAAACTGAATTGAATTGTCTTATTTGAAGTGCATATTCCACATTCCATTCTATTGGTAAATCATCTAATTTACCTGCTCAGATTAAGGATAAATAAATATAATTTAAGACATTTTAACTTATTTCCAGATTTTTTTTCTAGTGAACCTCCTACCCTGGAAAAAACATCTGGAAATAAGTAAAAATGTCTTAAATTAAGTGAATTTACCCTAATTTGGTAAATTAGGTAGTTTGCCAATGAAATGTGAAAATATGCACTTTAAATAAGACAATATAATAGTTTTTTTTTCTTATTTTAATGTAAATTGTCTTGTTACGTTGGCAAAATGTCTGTTTTACCTCCTCAATCCAAGAACAAAAGCACTTATTTGAAGAAAAAATGACTTATCTCGAGTTCTAGATTAGTCTAAATCTAGATAAGTAATTTTTTCATAAAATAAGTGCATTTGTTCTTGAAGTAAGACAGTTTGCCAATGGAAAAAGACAATTTAAACAATTGTATTCTTTTTATTCAATTGAGTATTATCTAATTATTCTATTTTAAGAGTAAAAACACTCATTCCACTGGCAGATCATCTTATTGAGCTGCTCAAATTAAGGGTAAATACACTTAATTTAAGACATTTTTACTTATTTCCAGATGGTTTTTGCAGTGAAACTCCTACAAGATGAAGTCAGAAACAGCGGGGGGGGGGATACCCGCTGACTATTTTAGATTTCTGCTTTTTAAAGCAGGCAGGAGCAAAGTAGAGGCCGCAGTGGCAGCAGTGGAGACGGTGTGTTTAGCTCGTCCACTAATTCACCAAACCCACCAAGCGCCTCACTGTAATTATCTTCTCTCTACTTTGACCCCCTTTGATCCAAACATCTGTTCAGCAAAAAAATATGTCTTTTTATAAACGGATATGTGTAGCTGAGGCATGAAACATTTGGGTGTATAGTTTATTTCAGCTTTCAGACCAGAGCAGCACTGGTTTCATGGTGTGGAGAGGAGGAGCCGGCGGGGGGGGGGGGGGGGGGGGGGGGGGGGGGGGGGTGCTTCGAGCGAAGGTCATCTGTTGAACAAAGAAACAAAACAAAAACGAAACATCTCAGCTCGTGCCACGCTCAGCCTGTGGATTTCTGCAGGCATATTTTCACGGATTCTCTGTCACTGAATCCGTCTGCTGTCAATGAATTCACTGTTCGCAGGCCGCCGCTTTTATGAGAGCCGTGATTCATTCTGAGAACAGGACGCGTCATTAACACAGCCGTCCTCAGGACAAAGTCCTGGTCTGAAGCTCGGTGGTGGTCGCAGAGAGCTGTGATGCTCAGAAGGTCAGAGGTCACAAACTGATGAATGAGGGAAGTTAATGATGAGGAAAACGACTCCAAGTCAGCAGTTAGAACTTTATGGAAAAGTTTGTTAAAAAAAAAACACTTAAAAAAGTAAAATAATCATTGAAGCGGAAAATTTCAACTGCATTTGTTCATGTTCATTACATATTGAAGAATTCATTTATTCCTGAAACTGTTCAGCAGCTGAAACAGATCAGAGATTGTTTTCACACAGAATAATGTTTTTAAGCTTTTATTTTCTTAAAGTGATTTATTTAATAAAAAAATGAAAATATAAAAATATGAAAAACATTGAGGAGTTTGTTCACTGCATAAAATAGAAGTGCATTTGTTCTTGAATTTTGGAGGTCAGTGGAACACAATGGAATAAGACAATTTATATTTAAAATAAGAGAAAAAAAACCAATTGCATTGTCTTTTTTCAAGTGCATGATATCTAATTATGATTTTTACTTATGTTAACAGTAAAAAATACTCATTCCATTCTATTCAGTTTATTTCTATAAATTCACATCATGTCATCTCAGGTCACTTTCCAGTTCACCAGATCATCCAGTCAGATTGATTCAAAGTTTTCTATCTAAGGAAAACCAGCTGATTGCATCGACTCATTGACTCTTCAGCAATCCCTCACACTAAGCATGCTTGTAGCGACAGTGGAGAGGAAAAAACTATTTAAATTAAGGGTATTTACCCTTAATTTAAGTATGTAAATGAGATAGGTTGCCAGTGGAATGAGTATTTTTACTCTTAAATTAGGTATTTCGATAATATGCACTTGAAATAAGTGCAATTGTGTTTTCTTATTTTAAATGTAAATAGTCTTGTCCAAAAGCAAAATGTCTCTTTTACCTCCTCAATCCAAAAACAAATGCACTTATTTTAAGAAAAAATCCTTATCTAGATTTTGATTTTTTTTTGAGTAAAGAACAAGAAGAAATCTTCTTCCATTGGCAAAGTGTCTCACTTTCCTCCTCAATTCAAGAAAAAATCACTTATTTAGTTTTCAATTTTTTGCAGTCTTGTGTTCATTTTCTGGGGTTCTGTCCAACCTCCTGCTTTCCCTGTTTTTCTGTAAGTTTTATTAAATAGTCTCACCCACTTAGTGCAGGTTTAGCGTTGAGGTAACAGCTGATGCAAAATGATAAATAATTCCTGTTAAAAGGGAGTTTTTCCTCTCCACTGTCGTTACAAGCATGCTTAGTGTAACTGTATAGTGCCTCGAGATGACATGATGTGAATTGGAGCTATAGAAATAAACTGAATAGAATTGAAATGGATAATCCAGGATTATTGCTGTTTTCTTTCATGCTGTGTTTTTTTGGATTTTAAACCTAGTTTTAAAGAAAGACCAAAGGCGGGTCAGAACCGAGGCTGATCATAGAAGCCAATCATCTTTCCACACCCCACCCCACCCCACCCACACCCACACACACTTTCAGCTGCAGACACATGGTGTGATGAAGATGTTTCTCCAGTGGAGACCATTGATCCACGGCTGTGTTCCCTGAGAGATTAAAAGTCTGTGTCTCTCTCTCTCACACACACTTCATTTTCGTCTCTTAATGTGTGTGTTTTCTCTGTGGGGGGGCACAATCAATAACCATGGTTTAGAATCAGGGATGTGAGTGAGGCAGGGATCTGGGAAGCAGCCAGCTGCTGCCAATCATGTTAAAAGCCTTTTGACAGTGATAAACAGGAGGACTGTTAAACGTAAATAAATAAATTAGAAACACGTCGCTTAGATTAGATCTTAGGCTTTAAAGCATTTATTTTAAAAATATTATTCCAAAAGACAAAATAGAATAAAGCTGGGGAAATAGAGACACCTTCTTTCTGATGAATGCTGAAGGAGAAGCATTTCCAGATCTGTTCATGAATGTTCCTCAGCTTCATCTGCTGGTTTAAAGGAGGAGATAAAGAAACAGACGAGACTCAGCAGCAGCAGCACACTGGGGGGAAAAAAATCAAGAAATGAGTAAAAAAATGTCTTCAATTAAGTTTATTTAATTTGAGTAGGCAAATGAAATAGTTTGCCAGTGGAATGAGTATTTTTACTCTTAATTAGGTAATTAGATAATATGTGCTTGAAATAAGACAATCCAATTGTGTTTTCTTATTTTAAATGAAAATTGTCTTATTCCATTGGCAAAGTTTCTCACTTACCTCAATTCAAGACAAAATGACTTATTTAGATTGCTATTTTTGCATTGTGATTAAGTTGTTCTGAATAGAAAATGAAAAATACCCTCGGCTCTGAGCTTATGGCAGTTTTATATATTAACAAATCAAACAGTGACACCAAAAAGTCCTCGATCATCACTATTTCTACCCTCCCGGTGTGGTAGAAAAGTTTTTCTCTTTTCCAGCACAAAGCAAATAAACATTTCCATTTAGAGATGCTTAAATCTTTCATGGATGAACTTAGTTTGGTCTGAAGACGAGGAAGAAGATCTGGTCCATCTCTTATTTCCCAGGCTGACCAGTTGACTCTGCACTGCAGCCATATAACCCCCAGTTTAAACAGGCAGACAATAGGCCAGCCTGGTTCCCACGCCGACGCTGACGGGACCCCTGCTCTGTTGTTATTGGCTATTTGTCTCTCTGTGGAGACGCTGTTCATCAGCATGACCGCAGTAAACTCTCCTCTGTCCAAACGGTCTGGCTGTTAACTCTAACCTCTCCAGGTTTGCATTGTGGCAGGAGGTCATGGGGGGTTACAGTCTGATCTGTTTGCTCTAGTTCTCTGTTTCCCGGAATAAACTGGGTGCTTCTGTTTTGTGCTGCAGGTGGTCGTCCCCACAAGAGTCGGACAGGTTTATGTGTACGACGCAGTGAACGCCGACAAGGACGAGTATGACGTCCCGCCAAGACATCAGCCAGCGGCACAGCAGGACATTTACGACGTACCGCCCACCCGCCAGCAGTTCAGCACCCAGGTCAGTGACTCGCTCAGTGATCCGGGTTACTGCTGCAGATGCCCTTCAGGAACCCGGAGCTTTGATTTTCTAAAACCAGTGGAGGTGATTCCGATCAATGGTCTGTTTAGTTCCAGGTTTTATACAGCAGCCCAACAAAGCCTGGTTTTAATTTAGAAAACATGCAAATAGAAACGGTCTCTAGTATCAGTTAGAAGAGCGGCATGGGCTGTTTATTACAGTTATTTTACTGGATGCACACGTGGAAGAGACTAAAACATGGGTTTAAATTAAACTCCCAGCATTGAGGTTTGAAAATATCTTTAATTTCAAAAAGCTCCATGAGAGGAATCAGCATGAAGCAGAACATGTCTGCCAGGTTGATCCGCCACTGTGGGGGAAATCCACCCACTGCATTAAGGCTGGTTTATACTTAGAAACCAGGTCGTCTGCGTGTGTGTCGCAGTGAATGCTAATATGTCCCCTGGCTGCTGCAGACGGGCGTTAGCCCTGACTGCTGTTACCCATCGGAGCTCCGCTGGTTGCCGCAGTCCTCTAAACATCAGAACTTCTTTTAAATTACGCACTAAATCAGTAAATGGGCCATTTAGTGAAGCTTAAAGTATAATTTTCTCGCCTCAAATGATCTTAAAACGTACTTTTATTGAACATCAGCAACAGAAAAGAGAAGTTTTAACTTAATACTCTGAGCTCTGTGAGCGCTAACCTGGAAGCTGCTGCTGCAGCAGTGCATGCTGGGACAGCTGTCTGATCATCCTATTTACCTGCTCAAATTAAGGTTAAATACACTTAATTTAATAAATATTGACTTATTTCTAGATCGTTTTTATAGTGAAGGTAAAGTGGAAACTGCAAAAATTATCTAGAAATTAGTAAAAATGTCTTAAATTAAGTGTATTTACCCTTAATTTGAGCAGGTTAGATGATCTACCAATGGAATGAGTATTTTTACTCTTAAAATAAGATAATTGGATAATATGCACTGGAAACAAGCATTTTTTCCCCCTTATTTTAAATGTAAATCATCTTGTTCTATTGGCAAAGTGTCTCACTCCTCAATCCAATAACAAACTCACTTATTTAAGAAAATTAAAATGACTTATTTAGATTTCAGGTTTTTTTTGCAATGAGGAACAATTTGTAGAAGGACCAACATCCAACCATCAAGGAGAGGATTTAAGGATTCAGCTCATTTTGTCACTTGATGACATTTCACATAGAGAAAAGTCTGAACTGGTCACCATGGCGATTAATTACAGGTTTAAATCTGTCAGTGTTTCCAGCTTCATGCTCCAACATGTCTTCCTCTGTGCTCAGGTCTATGACACCCCTCCTATGGTGGTCAAGGGGCCCTCTGGTGGTCAAGACATATACGACACCCCAGCGATGGCAGAGAAGAACCCCCATCAAACGGTGAGACTTTGAACATGGTTCTGTTGTAGAAAATGATTAACCGTTAGTGACCCAAATGAACGCAGAGCTCTACAGAAACAGACAGGAAATTGTGTTTTCCAATCAGGATTTAGATTGGTGAATATTTACCAAGCATGTGTCCCATGATCAGCCACGATCTGAGCACATGTTTGTGTCTCCAGGTGTACGACTTCCCTCCCTCGGTGAGTAAAGACGTTCCTGATGGTCAGTTGATCCGAGAGGAGACCTATGACGTGCCCCCCCACTTCGCCAAGCTGAAGCACAACGTTCCCAGCGCTCCTGGCCAGTACCAGCACAACGACGCCAGCGACGACGACGAGCCGCCAATCCCTGAAGACGTTTACGACGTTCCCCCGCCGATCCTCGGCGAGAAGCATCATCGGGGCGAGAGAGGCGCGGCCGGCCAGGCCCCGCAGGAGATCTACGACATCCCCGCCACCCTGCGTGCTGGAGGAGCCCCCGCACAGGATGTTTATGACTTCCCACGGGAACGGGAGGACAGGGGAGGCGAGCGGGGAGACCAGTACATCTATGACGTCCCGCCACAGGTAGCTGAAGTTTGTGGTCCATTACATTTTCCTGCAGAAAACGTGTCTCAGTCAGAGGTCCTCTTTGTTAGAGGTGTCCAGAAAAATGCTTTTCTTGCCTCCTCAGCAGCCTGTTTATCCTCCATCTATCAGAGTCAGGTGTGTTGAAACTAGGAAGCATCTAAAACCTAAAGGACAGAGGATCCAGGATCCAGGGCTGGTTGGGTGAAGACATGTTGAGGAACCTTCACTGAGTTTCTAGAGTGAGAGTCTCTGCCATAAACTTCACTGTAAATGCAGATCAACACTAACTGAATCAGAAATTAAAGAGTCAAAACACTTCTAGTTGTAATAAATCTATAAATGGGGTGTGCATCTATATTCAGACCCCCTTACTGTTATCCCAGAGATAAAATCCTTCACTCCTTATTGATGTGAGATTGGAAACAATGGAAAGGTTTGGATCATCGTGTTTAATTAACAGACTCACAGCGGAGTCCAGTCCATCCTACAGGTCCGGCCTGGTTCACGCCGAGACCAGCTCTGTATAATTTATATCTTTGATGGAAGAATGAATACACTGTAGTATGTATGTAGTAACATGTGGGTAACAATCTAAACCTATAGCAGCATAACTATAGAGATATAATGAAGCAGAATGATGAAAAAGGGGTCCCTATGTCCTCCAGCAGTCTAAGCCTATAGCAGCATAACTATAGAGATTGCTCAGGATAACCTGAGCCACTCTAACTATAAGCTTTATCAAAAAGGAACGTTTTAAGTCTAGCCTTAAAAGTAGACAGGGTGACTGCCTCACGGACTAAAGCTGGTAGTTGGTTCCACAGGAGAGGAGCCTGATAACTAAAAGATCTGCCTCCCATTCTACTTTTAGAAATTCTAGGAGCCACTAGTAAGCCTGCAGATTGAGAGCGAAGTGCTCTGTTAGGAACATAAGGAACAATCAGATCTCTGATATCAGATGGAGCTTGGCCATTTAAGGCTTTATATGTGAGAAGGAGGATTTTAAATTCTATTCTGGATTTAACAGGAAGCCAATGAAGAGAAGCCAGGATAGGAGAGATGTGATCTCTCTTTTTCATTTTCATCAGAACTCTGGCTGCAGCATTTTGGATCAGCTGAAGGCTTTTAACTACAGTTGTTTTTTTCCCAGAAAACAGACCACGCTGGTCTTTATGTGGTCAGTATAATTAACTGAGATTGCAATACTTGTGTTCTTCCCATAGAGGGCAGCATGTCCTCAGCAGACAGGAAGTCATCAGATTGTCCTCCTGTGAAGTTCTGATTATAATTTTATTCATTTGAACTTTACTTTTAGACAAAACTGATGAATGTTCTTATTTCTAGGTCGGAAGTGACAGAGGGCAGAAACATCTTCCTGGGAAATTATTTTCCAGGTCAAATTAAAACCTCTACTGTGATTTGGAGTGAATAGATAACAGACTGAGAAAAGGTGTAACTGGCACATAACAGCAGTGCAGATTCAGTTCTATTCAGTTTATTTCTATAGCTCCAATTCACATCATGTCATCTCAGGTCACTTTCCAGTTCACCAGATCATCCAGTCAGATTGATTCAAAGTTTTTTATCTAAGGAAAACCGGTTGATTGCATCGACTCATTGACTCTTCAGCAATCCCTCACACTAAGGGCTGATTTATTCTCATTAACCAGGTCGTCTACTTGTGTCGCAGTGAACGCAGATATGCCCCGCCCCCTTCCGCAGACACTCTGCGGAGGCCGCTGATTGGTCAGATCTACATCCGCTCTACACTTTGCGTATTTCCTGTTTGGTTCCTTACCGGCCTGTTTTGTTTGTTTTCCGCAATGGCGGAAAACAACTCGTGAAGTTGGAGCAGCTAGAAGAGCAAGGTGCGTGATAACCTGGGACCCTTTTTCCACCTGGATCCCCGCTCTTTTTGGCCCTCATGTCCCTCCGTTGTCGGACAAACTTGCCTCCACTTCCTCACCCTCTCGGCCGTATCTAGACCCACAGCTAGTTCCTGATTGGCCCTCTGGCGTTGTGGCGTGGAATAACATAACGCAGACCATTGGGCATAAATCAAATATATCTGCGACACACTGCTGCAGGAGGAGAACCAGCCCTTTAAGCATGCTTGTAGCGACAGTGGAGAGGAAAAACTCCCTTTGAACAGGAAGAAACCTCCAGCAGAACCAGGCTCAGTGTGAGCGGCCATCTGCTGAGGCCGACTGGGGTTCAAGGAGACAGAAGCAGACATAGAAAAAGAAGCATAGATACAAAAGGTAACTGTCAACCAGCTCCAGAGAAACAGGACTACACTGGAAAACAGGCCAAGCTCCAACATCTAGAAACAAAGGTGTTGATGGCAGCAGCTCAGTAGAGAGAGCAGAACGTTAGAGATTGAACTATGAAGCCAGCTTTTCTTTATTGCTACCGGGGCTGAAACTAACGATTATTTTTCAAATCGATTATTCTGTAGTTTTTTCCTATAAATCAATTAATAATCGGATAGCCAAAGGTTGCTTCAATAAGATTTTTATTACAAAATCAAACCAGGTGAAACTAAAACTTTTCCACCCAAGTTTTTTCTCTCAAATGCAAAAATGTTTTTTTTTTGTTTTTTTTTTTAACAATCTTGGTATAATTCCTATTCTAACTGTGTCACTCTGTCATGTATAAGCATGTTTTAGCGTGTCTATATTCCAGTTAAACATAAATCAATTACTTAATTAGTTGGCAGTTATTACAATAATTAATCTAATAGTTAATCCGCTTGTTTGAGAAAATAAGAGTGAGCAGGAAGCAGGATGGTGAAACATGTTCATCACAGTCCATCGGTTCATGGCTGCTTCTCCCTGTAGAGGTCAGAATCTGTGACATCATCATCTCCGTATTGTCTTCCAGGTTGTCCGTGACGCCCAGTCCAACACCGAGGAGATGACCAAGTCTTTCAAACGCCTTTCTGCTTCCAGCACCGGAAGCACGCGGAGCAACCACTCCTGTTCTTCCCTGGACATGGTTCCTGTCCGGGACACCTCGTCTCTTCCAGCCTCTGGTTCCAGCCAAGGAAAACCGCTCCTGTTGGACCTGGATCAGGCCATGGAGCGTCTCTCCCGGCTGCAGCAGGCCGTGGAGTCCAGCGTTTCCCTCATGATGTCATTCATCACAGGGAACTGGAGGAGTCCTGCTCACCTGGAGGGAAACCTTACCGCCATCCACCAGGCGGCGGACCGGGTGCGAGCCACCGTTCGAGACTTCCTAGAATTTGCTCGAGGCGCAGTTACAAACGCTGCTCAGGCCACAGACCGCTCGCTGCAGACCAAACTGGGCCGGCAAGTGGGAAAGATGGAGGACGTCTTTCAGAGTTTGATTCGGCACAGTCAGAGCTTGGACGCCATCTCGTGGTCCCCCACAGCTCTATCCGCTCCGCCACCAGGGGGCGATGACTTGGATCGACTGATCATGACGGCGAGAGGCATCCCTGACGACGCCAAGCAGCTGGCCTCCTTCCTCCACGGTAACGCCTCGCTGCTCTTTAAAAGGACAACCAGGCAGCAGCAGCTGCCCCTTCCTCCAATCCCAGGGGACGTCAGCGGTCACATGACCGGATCAGGAAGCGGAACCTACCAGGGAGGGGAGAAGGTGCACATTCAGTCCCGCCCCCTCCCTTCGCCACCCAAAATTACAGCTCCTGAGGAGGAGGATGGCGTGGACAGGCTGTACGAGGTCACAGAGGAAGGCTGGATGGAGGACTACGACTACGTCCATTTACAGGTAACCTGACCTTAACCGCCAGCTGGGCTTCAGTTGCTCAGCTCTCTGTCTCATGTATAGCAAGACTTTACACTCATATGACGGCCATGTGGACCTAGCATCATTTAAAGCTGGGATTTATTCAGCATCTGATATGATGCAGAATAAATCCCCTCCATTTCAGTTAGAGGAGGAGGGAGAAAGCAGGACACTGATGGACGGCCAGTTCTGTCCTCCTACCAGCGGACATCACTGTCCCTAAGCCGGACTGATCCATCAGGTGGAGCTTTTGGGGATCTGGGATCGTCTGGTTGTGTCTGCTTCTACAGGGAGTTATATGTGTCACTACTGATCCGTCCATCAGCTCATCATCAACCAGATATACATCCGGGTCACCTTCATTTTACTTTGTAAAAAAGACCTAAATTACTGTTTTACCACCCTAAAAATAGTAAGCGCACTAAACTATAATGTGTTAAAGGTTAATAATGTATTTTCTGATAAAATAAATGCACTTAAATCCTTTCTGTTTTATCACTCGTCTGTTCCCGATCTGAACCAGCAATGACTCAATTTGCTGCACATGTTCAGAAAGGTCCAAACAGACAGCAGCAAACCATTTGAAAACAAACCATGCAAAGAGCAGTGTTGCCAACTTAGTGCTTTAATTGCTATATTTAGCCACTTTTCAGACCCCTCTAGATCTTCGATTTCTAAAAAGCAGCAAACTCTGCTCTCCAGAGCAAGTAGATTGGTAACCCCGCCTCCTGCTCTCCTCGATCTTGTCTGCTGTCATGATTCATGCAGCTGTTATTTCATCCAAATGAAAAATGGAGAACAGAGAAGCAGATCTTGGCTTGTCTACAGTGAAAAGAAGGACTGGGTTATTTACTTTTACCTTTCTGGAAACACAGGAAGGAGCAATCAGCTAAGTGAGCTTAGTGCTTGGAAAAAATCTTTCATTCCTTTAGAGACAGCATGAAAAGTCAGCTGAGTACAAAACATAGAGAGGAAAACAAGAAGAAAAGGGACAAGAAGAGAGGGACAAAACCTAGAGCAGATAATGGATGTCTATTCTATTAACATATTTCTATCTGGATAATGGGTCTGTTTTATGTGTCGTCTTCGCAATTCAGAGGGCCCCCTGCCTGTCTTCGCCTAGGGCCCCAAATTTCCTAAATCCGCCCCTGCCTTATGGTATATAGTGCACTATATAAGATTGTCTGATGTCGGACAATCTGTTAAATGGAGAAAATGTAATAGCATCAAATTGTCTCTGAAAAGTTGTAAAACATTTTTAAAAGATGTGTTTTAGTATTCTTTAGTGATTTATGGGTAGAAATAAGAACTTTTATTACCATAATTGCATTATTTATGGCGACCTGGATGAATATCTTCTTGCAGATGAGCTGATGGTACGGATCAGGTAGTGAGAATATGGACTCACCTAAAGTTTTTACCATGTAAGGAAAGTCCGGCTTTAACCTCCAGGTGGCGACATTTCTCCCTTTAACCAACATTCATGAGACAGAAAAGAAGTTTCTGACCTTTAAATAATAAGAGACTCAAAAATAGATTATTTTCTCTTATTTTTGGAAAGTAGATAAATCAGTTCATAGACTTTTCTGGCTTTCAATTATTTCCAGGCAATGTGTATTTAATTCAGTTTAGACTTTTTAAAGATGAGGGTATTTACAGTAACGGGGGTCATCCAGTCATGATGGAAGTGCTGTTATGTAACGACTTTGTTTTGATCTGAAAGGGGAAGGAGGAGTTTGAGAAGAACCAAAGGCAGCTTCTGGAGAAAGGAAACCTTATCAGACACAACAAGACGCATCTGGAGCAGCAGCAGGTATGTCTACAGGTTCAGACCGGTCCCTGGAAGAACAGCACCTTCCCACACCGCCGCCGTCTCCATTACACCTAGACTCTTTAACATCTTTATCGCAAGTTATAACAAAAAAAAAAAATAATGTTTTTATTTAACTGGGATTAAACATAAAGTGTTGAGCTGATGTTAGTTTGGAGGTAAAAGGCTTTAAAGGCTTGTTTTACAAAAAGAGTCTCTGGTTTTCTCTGAGCTTCATGGGATCAACGTTTAGGCTGCGTTCACAACACAAGTGTTGTAAAGAAACGCTCAAACACAGAAATCTGGATGAAACTGTGGTCCAGTTTCTTTGCTGCTCGGCGCTCCGGATGTTTATCTGTTCCGTTCTGTAGCTTCCAGGCAAAGAGCAGCTTGGCTTTATTTACTTTATGAGCTGGAAAAATAGTTTGAACACATTTTTAAGGGAGAAATTCCACCTCCAAACATCCACTGTTCATCAGGATTATGATTAGGGCTGCAACTAACGTTTATTTTAAAAATCGATGAATCGGCCGATTATTTTTTTCGATTAATCGATGAATCAGACAAAACATTTTTTTTATATTAACCTCTTTATTTCAAAATAAACATTTTAGACAGAACAAACAAGCACACAAGTACATGTTGCTCATTAACTGTCCTGGTGCAATATGAAAAATAAATGTTTTTGTTTAAACTACGCAACCTTACATGAGAAATGTAGCTGTACATCCACAAAATATAGGGTACTTTGTTTCATAAAGCGCAAAAAAATACATTTTTGTTTTTTAAAGCCCCTAAGGGGTTCAAACAATAGGTCCCCCCATTTCAACAAATGAGTTTTTTTTTAGAGTAGAAGAGTTCTGCCTTTTAAGACAGGAAAGTATAGCAGTTAAAGTTGCTACTTGAGAAAATACTGAACCATAGAGATAAAAATAGCCCTGTGATTCAAATTATAAATCGTATTTGGAATAAAAATGAGAGAACTAGGGGTGCTAAAAAACACATCCTCCAAAGACTCCAATTTACATGGGAATGTGGCAGATAATTAATTGACATATTACTGATCTTGCTGGATTTTATTCTGCTTTACTTCCATAAATTGCAGGATCTTCTTTACTTTATCTTTGCCAGAAGATTTAAACTTTAAAAGCCTTGCCCTCATAATTTGCAAGTTAACTTATTTATAAAGTAAATGTAAACGCTGCTTATGCTAATTCAAATGAAAAACTAAAATAAGTAGCCAACCTTATCACTGTCTGTAACCTACTAACACGGTAAGGAAAGCATCAGATGAGCTACCTGAGAAACTAACGTTACGTTTCCCCACTTTAAAATGAAACATACATGGTTACTCATCCTGCTGATCAGCTCTCTTCACTGCCATCGAAGGCTCCAACATGTTTTCTTTTCAGGTGCTGCATCATAACAGTGGTGCTTTCGCGCAGGCTTTTTTATTAATGTAATCAATTTGCGCCGTCAATCCCGGCGCATGCGCGCTTCATTTGCAGTCTGGACGCTGAGGGTAAACATCCTGCAGCTCTGACTGCAGAGCTGAGAGGGACTCCTGGGGAGCGGGGGGAGGCGCCTCACGGCAGAGTAGGAACGATACATGCTTTCACGTAAGAGTCTCCAAAAGCCGCCAGTGACACAGTAAAAAGTCGCCAGATTTGTCGCTAGTCGCTTTTTTGAAAAATAGTCCCTGGAGGGGTCTGAAAAGTCGCTGAGTTGGCAACACTGCGCCTGCAGCGCTGGCTCGCTCTGCCGTATTTTTTTCTTCTTCCCATGTTTCAGTCAAGTGGATGTGATGACGGCCGCCGCGGATAACGCATTAATCGCACGACACAACTAATCGATGATGAAATTCGTTGCCAACGCTTTTAAAAGTCGATTTTTATCGATTTTATCGATTCGTTGTTGCAGCCCTAATTATGATCCCAACAAAATATATCAGATCTAAACATGAATTGACATTTACCGAAGACTCGCCGTAGCAACAGCCAGACTCTGTTTGCTGACTGGCGCCATCCAAAGGCCTTTGGCTGCTTTTTATTTTATTTAGGGGTGTCGGAGTAAAGGTTGGCTATGCTTCAGATTTGATTAATAATAATAATAACAATATGTTATCATAAAAACATCTGAAAACTGTTCAGGGGTGTGAATACTTTTGTATATAATTCTATTCCTAATGGATTCATTTCATTCTGATCCTTTTTTTGTTAAGTTTTTAAATCTCATTTAGATAAAATTTGAGGAAAATAGCAGAAAGAAGCGGATCTCTGAAGCCCAGCGGTTGTTTCCGTGACGACAGCTGACTGTGATGCTCCTTTCCTCTCTTTAGATCAAACAGTTTGAGCGGCTGGAGCAGGAAGTCAGCCGGCCAATAAACAACGACATCACGGGCTGGGTCCCTTCTCCGCATCACCCTCTGGCCAATCAGCTGTCCAAGAACGGCCCCGGCGAGCGTTCATCCTCCAAGCTCTGTCACGGTGACCGCCAGCTGCTCCTCTTCTACCAGGAGCAGTGTGAACAAAACATCACAACCGTCACCAACGCCATTGATGCCTTCTTCACCGCCGTCAACTCCAACCAGCCGCCAAAGATCTTCGTGGCCCACGGTAAATTTGTCATCCTCAGCGCGCACAAGCTGGTCTTCATCGGCGACACGTTATCACGGCAGGCCAAGTCTCCGGAGGTCCGGGCCCGGGTGGCGCAGAGCAGCAACACGCTGTGTGAGAAACTCAAGGACATCGTCATCAGCACGAAGACGGCGGCGCTGCAGTACCCGTCTCCCGGAGCCGCCAGAGAGATGACGGAGAGGGTGAAGGAGCTGGCCGGGTGCACTCAGCAGTTCAAGATGGTGCTGGGACAGCTGCTGCTGATGTAGGAACCCGAACGGTGGCGTCCCGCTCAGCGGCGGGACCCATGCACACGCCAGCAGCACGCAGGACCATCCGAGGCACATCTCTGATGCCTGCAGGAATCCTTGTTCTCCGGAGTCCAGCTGTCGCCCAGCTTCTCCATCCTCTCTGTTCACTGGGATCATTCCTCTCCGCCGCTCCTCACTTTAGGCGGCACCGAGGAACGTTTGGCGGGCTGTAAAATAGTCCCTGTAAATATTCAACTTCCCTGATTAATGAGATGAAGAGAAGAAAAGAAGCATCTAAGAATAAAACTGATATGAAATCTTCCTGGTAGTTAAAGACGTATCAATCATGGTTATTAATAAACTGTATAATTATTGCTCTGATTCTTCTATCATTCTCTGTATGGATGTATAAATTCCAGATGTTATGTAAAGCTCTTTGTTGTAGTGAGTGCCTCCATCCTGTTTCCCCACATCATCTAATGATCTGAGGTTGCCCCGGCAACTCCCGTTGAAAGCTAAGCTAGCTCTCCCACCTGCGCTGCAAAAAGTTCTTAAAACAAAAGTATTTGCCCTTAATTTCTGCAGGAAACGAAGATGACGAGCCAATGGAAGGAGGATTACGATGAAAGAGTATTAGAGCCAGGCTAGAGATTTTATTTTTATTTTATTTTATGAGAATAAAGTCATCCTACAACAACCTGTTTCAGAAAGAAAGCTTGGAACTCCGCCCAGCAGATGACGTCAGACCAGCTCCACCAATCAGCAACCTGAGTCCACTTTGACATCCTGCCCAGTTTGATGCTGCTGGTTAAAGATTTCCTGATTTATTAAACCGATGCTAAAGTATTACTTCACATGATGCTCCACATTCCTCATTATAGGGAAGAAAGCACTTCTTGGAAGAGTTGTCTTAAAATAAAACTTGTTTCTCTTAATTTAAGGACTATTCTAGTTGTGACTTTTTTTCTCATAATATTATGACTTTATTCTGGTAATTTTACGACTTTATTCTCCAAATAGAAGAAAAAAAATCTCTAGCCTGGCCCAAATGCTCCGTCGTAGGAGGATGAATAGATATGATGCACTTAAAAAAAAAATTTTTTTTTCTTATTTTAATGGTAAAGCATCTTATTCCAGTGGTAAATTTGTCTCATTTACCTGCTGAAATCAAGAAAAATGTAGATTTTTGAGGCATTAGGGGGCGCTGCTGCCCAAAACGTCCCATAAACCATAAAGATGCAGATGCAGGTATGATGATGTCAGCCTCACATGATTTTCTTTTCTGACAAACTGCATCTATGTTGTTTTGTAAGAGGCATGTATTCAACTAATCTGTAAAAGGTGAAATACACCAAATCATTTAAGTTTGCCGTTTGTCTTTCTTCTGTGTGGACCTTCCAGGCGCCTGCCTAAAACTCACTCACTTCATCCAAATGTGAAAAAAACACAAATAGTTGAATTCAGGAAATGTATCATTCATTCATTTCTTGTAAAAATAACCATTTTCACAGATTGTTCATTCATCTGTAGCAGAAAGTTGTGTGCAGAATAATAGCAGCCCAACATTTCTGTCCAGATCTCTCTTTTTGGCTAAAATTGTTAATTAGTAATTGATTAATGGTTAACTGGAGTATAGAGACTGTAAAATGCCTTTGGCTGACAGGGCGACCCACTTAGAGCAGGTATTAGACCTAGATTGTTAAACATTTTTAAAAATGTTGCATTTGAGTTTTTAAAAAAAAGTTTTTTGTCTGTCAATATGTTCTATCCTGAACTCAAGTGGAAAAGGCTTTCTGATTATCATTCGGAAAAATAATCCACATTTCAATCAATTTGCTAAATAATAATTAGTTGCAGCCCTGAGGCCCTGCTTTGGGTTTGTTTTGCACCTTCCTCAAGTTTGAAAGTTTCTGCATCCCTGGACAGCTACTCTCTGCCCTTCTGCACACAGCGGTTCACTCAGGGACAGCATTGGATTGCAAAGTTCAGAAAAACTGAAAACACAGTAAAGTTGCATTAAAAACGTCTGCATATGTCCAGCAGCTCAAACCGGTACAGCTGAGGTTTGTCAGAAGATGGTAAATGTGGGACTTCAATCTTCAGGAGACCTGCTGACCTCGTCGTCCGTTTAGAGTGCAGCTCGCCCACCTTCCCTTCTGATTCGCTGGCTACGCCCTTCAGGGGTGTGTGGCCAAGAGCTGAGACACGGAAGGGGCGTGAACAATTAGCGGGTCTTCTAAAGATTTAAGCTTAAAGTTAAAACTGAAGATGGATATTTATATTTAGCTTTAAAATCTAAAGATAAAATATAGGATTTATACAAAGATCCTATATTTTATATGAAGATTTTCGATGCATATTTAAATAGGAATTTAAGATCAAGAAAAATCTATATGCGAGCACAGCGTTAATTTGTTTCCCCATGTTTTTCACATCAGCTGTGAGATGGGCACGCATGGAGTTACATATTAACAGCGATGGTGATGAGTGGAAAAAACCCACCTGGTCTCCTTACATTCAGCCACTCTTTCATCATCTCCTCAATGAGGTGGTCTCAAAAGTCGCAGTTACAACACACATAGGGCGCACCGCACCAAAGGGCGCACTGCACATTTTAAGGGGGAAAAAAGACGTTTAAGTGCGCCTTATAGTCGTGAAAATACGGTACATGGATATAGGTGTAGAAATAGATTAGACAGACTGACTGACTGTCTTTCTTTCTTTCGTTATTTATTTATTCTGGACTCATGGTCCAATAAATATACAAGATAAAAATAAAACCATACAGGTAGAAAAGTAGAAAACAAGTAGAACTTACAATTAGATAGGAGATTTAAGGAGAGCTCCTGAGCTGAGACTGCGATCAGATTGCATTACGTTTGGTGTCAGTAAGTGGCCATTTCCAGATGAATTTAACCTACAGATAAAACTATACATTGACTTTTGTAAAACAGCATGTAAGGTAGTGACTCTTATAACAAACATCTCACTCACACTAGTTTGTTTTGGTCATTTCGAAAGGACCCACAAAGTATCCTTCTAGGCCACCTGCAGCCTTTGCAGGCTGGATGTTTTTTATGTAGACCACAGGTGAACCGTGTACAGAGAGGTACAACATGCATTAAATACTTCCACTTTTACTACATCAGTACATGCACCAAATATACAAGCAAGAGTATTAGCCTTAGCATACAACATTCTAGACTGTCTGCAGATATCATCATCATCTGACAGATTCTCTGTGATGATGTGACAAACATGCATGGTTTTATTAGTAGCATTCAGCACAGTATTTGACAGATGAAAGTCTGGAAACTGAATAGATTTATCTTCTTTACTCCTGCAGATCATGACTGCACCTTTACATAGATTGTAATTAATGTCATGTTCCAGAGCGTACTCCGAAAAGATGCTAAGTAGTTGCGGTAACCCAGGACTAAATATTACTTATATAGATATAATATATGTAGATTTGTTTGTTAAATAATAGAAGTTTAATAATGATTTGAGTTGCTAAAATCGTACAGCAGCTGCTTTAGGTGGAGTCACAGCAGAAACACCTGGACAACCAAAATATTTAAGAGTTTTTACTGTCATATTTCACCTTAGTGGAGTTTTAGTGAGAACTCAGGATCAGTATGCACGTAAAGGATAAAAATTCAGAGCATGGCCTTGATGGGTGATTTTACTATTGGACTGCTACAGTATGCCACTCGTCTGTCCTCTGATAAGGGTCACCTGGTGAGAGAAAAGCAGGTGAGGCTAAAGCTATATTTATTAGATGAAGAACAAGACTTGGATATGGGAGCGATATTGTTGCAAGATTATTTGCAAATGTGTTTGGAGAGTTGCCTGTGTGTAGGAGTATCTGCAAATGTGTAAAATAACTTGTGTGTAATTGATTTGCAAATGTGTAAAAAAAAATCCACCAATCTATTTTCAATTTATTTAAGTTTATTACTACAGCGCCAGTTTACATCATGTCATCTCAGGTCACTTTCCAGTTTACCAGATCATCCAGTCGGATTGATTCAAAGTTTTCTATCAAAGGAAAACCAGCTGATTGCATCGACTCATTGACTCTTCAGCAATCCCTCACACTAAGCATGCTTGTAGCGACAGTGGAGAGGACAAAACTCCCTTTGAACAGGAAGAAACCTAACGGCTATTGGGAAATCCTGTTAAATCCAGAATAGAATTTAAAATCCTCCTTCTCACATATAAAGCCTTAAATGGCCAAGCTCCATCTGATATCAGAGATCTGATTGTTCCTTATGTTCCTAACAGAGCACTTCGCTCTCAATCTGCAGGTTTACTAGTGGTTCCTAGAATTTCTAAAAGTAGAATGGGAGGCAGATCTTTTAGTTATCAGGCTCCTCTCCTGTGGAACCAACTACCAGTTTTAGTCTGTGAGGCAGACACCCTGTCTACTTTTAAGACTAGGCTTAAAACTTTCCTTTTTGATAAAGCTTATAGTTAGAGTGGCTCAGGTTATCCTGAGCTATCTCTATAGTTATGCTGCTATAGGCTTAGACTGCTGGAGGACATAGGGACCCCTTTTCATCATTCTGCTTCATTCCATAAAAGTTTAAAAAACATTCCACTGGACTTGGTTTCCAAGTTTTGTCGCTTTCCCTCCAGGAAGCTTTCTCAATTCAAATGTCTGCATCCGCAGTGAGTTTGAGTCTTTATATAGACCAGGCCTTGTATTGCTTGGAAACATGCAAATTGAAACCGACCAGTGGGTCGTTTGTTTCAATTGTTAGCCTGTAATATCTGAAACCTGTCTACGATTCTGAAAATTGGTCGTTAAAGGAGGGATTTTTCACCTAGCTGAAGGGGGGAGGTACTTTGTTTCTCTGTGATGGGGTGGGGGGTTGTGGTGATACCTGGAAGGGATCATCTCTATAACTGAATTGTACGATTTTGGAAGCTGGAATCTGAATCCACCCCCTCTGTTTAAAGTTGTTTTTTCCCTCTTAACATAGATGGCTTTCTTCACGCCCCTCTCAAACCACCTATTTTCTTTATCCAAAATGTGAACATTCTGGTCCTCCAAAGCATGTCCTTTGTCCATAAGGTGTAAATCTACACCTCCCGAGGAGGGCGCTCTCCTGTGTTGGGCCATGCGTCTCTGGAGAGGTTGTTTGGTTTCTCCAATATAAAGATCAGAGCATTCCTCACTGCATTAAACAGCAGACACCACTCTGCTCATATTGGGTCTGGGGGTTTTATCTTTAGGATGCACTAGTCTCTGTTTAAGGGTTTTGTTTGGTTTGAAATGTGCTGGGATTTTGTCTTTGGAGAAAATCCTCTTGAGTTTTTTAGAGACTCCAGCAACATAAGGGATTGGGATGTTTTTGCATTTAATTTTCTCACTGCTTTCTTCTACTGCGTGTGTTTTGGACTCAAACCACCCACTGAAACACAAACTCTCAGTCATCAGAGCCTTACATCACCGGGCAGAACATGTCCCTACTAGACACAAGGGAAGCACAAAGAACAGAAACACATCAGAGATGCTCTCCGAAACTGTGGATACCCAAACTGGGCATTTATCATTAAACATATTTAGTTCTTACAGCAACAATTTCTTGTCCTACCCCGCTTGAAACAAGTGTCTTTAGATAACTAAATATTTTTAAATAGTTGCTGTTTATAAAGTGCTGATGAATAAAGTTGGCTTGGCACCTCTACTCTAGATCTTAATATGCTTGTTGAACATGGTTGAAATCAGGAAGTTATGTGAGCCAGAAACATGGCAAGAGAAAGGGGAACTTGAATCCAGGATGTTGCATTCCGGTGTGTTGAAATCAGCCAAACATGAATGAAAGCCCTCAAACTTCACAGTTCAAATTCAGGAATGGGCTAAACTTTCCTATGACTGTTATCAACAAGTGGTGCATAATTTGGTGCCATTGCCATGTTAAGGGTAGAGGACAGGAGTACAGCAATTCAATTGTTAGCACAGGGCTTTGACTGAAGAAATACTTTAAAAAATGTAATAACAGAAATGAGGAAGTGTTGCCCTGTCGAGTCTTTAAAGAGCTGTGTAGAAACAAACATTTAAATCCTCAAAAAAGTGAAGCAACTCCAGGTGAAGTTCCTTCTGTCTTTCATGTTTTAACCTAGATCAGACCGAAAGGCTGAATCATGGCTGCAAAAGCTGCTGAATCATGATGTCGTGTTTTTGGCTTTATGAAAAGTTTTTCAAATGTTTGCTTTTTCGACACAGATAAAAACGAAGGAAAGCCAAACATTTTTTTTTGTGAATTCATTTTTCTTTTATTTGGGCTTAGTGGTCACATTGGCAACTACCAGGGGATGATGTTGCCCTCCCAGTCCAGTAGAAGCCCAGTGTGTCTTCCGGTTAGTGTTGACATTACATCAAGCATTCCCGCTACGCTATCCTGGGTGGTCAAAGGAGCCTATGGGAGAAAGAAAGAAGAAAAGATAGATATTTACCGACCTTTTCTATTCCTCACATTATTAAGACCCACACTCATTGTCTTCTGTTTATGTGCTGTCAGGTTGCAGCAGTCTCAGCAGAGATGCTGAAACTTCTCTTTAGCCAGACACCTTCTCCAAGTCCTCTGAGCTGAGCCCAGGAACAGTGGAAACAGTACCTCCAGCATGTCCTGGGCAGTGTTTGGCACGTTACTTTGAAAAAGTAATTAGTTATACTTACTAGTTACTTCTCCCAAAAAGTAACTGAGTTACTAACTGAGTTACTCCACAATAAAAGTAACTAGTTACTAGTAATATTAACTATTTCATTACTTTTGCGTTTCTCGCCCCCGTAACCCTCACCACCCAGCCCCCACCTTCTTGCAGTGTGTTTCCAAAGCCAGCTGAATAGAGCGGACGACAAAGACAAGAACCTGCAGAGAGTTTTGCATTTATTGCAACTCAACGTAAATGACATCAGGGGGGAACGCTATCTGACGGGCCTATAAACCCCGTCTGATAGCGTTCCCCCTGCTTAAAATGGGGGAACGGTATCTGATGCGGTGTAAATATCATCAGGCTGCATTACCTCAACCAATGGGTGTGAAGTTTTTTAACAGGGCATTCAGATCTGGTGAGTATATGAAATTAATAACTGGGGATGTCTAAGTCTGAAATCCTGTGTGTTTGGGTTGTTATAGATACTGCAACATCTATCTATCCATCTATCTATACAGATCTATATAGATGTATACTCTGTGTGTGACAAAAAATACAGATCTCCATCTCTGCCACAAAACCCATCAAATAATAATATGTTTAAAGAATCGCATTGAGAACAATGTCTCTTCAAAATCCTCTCAAGCCTAGCTTGACCTCTTGATAGCTGTCTGGAGCCTGACAAGCCAACCGCGCTCAATAAGACTGCTTCTTCAGCCTGACAGCGTCCCTCACTCACATTGTCCACCACTATCACTGCATGAAAAGTGAGATTTTCGTCCCCGTAAACCCCCGTAAACTCCCGCAGATCTCCCTGATTTTCGTCAGTTTCCGACAATTTGCAACCCGTGCTTGTCCGCGTTTGTCGTGCCACAAATTGTCGGAAACGTACCATGACGTATGTGGAGAGCGATCAGCTGTACTAATGGCCCTAATTAGCATATGATTACAGCAAACCCGCGCGGCTGGCCAGGTCTGGCTTGAATAACCTTCTCAGTATTGGCTGAAACCACTATTCTCAAACAAGTGAAATTGCTCGTGATTGGCAGCAAAACCACACGTGGCCACGCCAGGCTTTAATTTTCGTACTGAGTATTGGACGGAACCACTTCTTTTTAAACAAGTAAAGTCGCTCGTGATTGTTTGGCATATATATATATTTACATATATATATATTTATTTATTCATATATTTATTCATTCATATGCTGTGTATTTATGTTATCCTACACTACTACACAATTATTAGGCTACCATCAAGGACATGAATGAATTTATACAGGAAATGAACATTTGCCAGGAAGCTGTTTATGCAAAGAAAGAGCTTTATTAAAACACACACAACTATACACAACGCGTATCCAAACACATGCGTATCTAAAAATTACAACTCCGTGAACGGTCCGTTTGCTTCCTCGGGGTTGGAGGTAACCGGCAGCATTCCCTCCGAGGCAGGTCCGATGTGCAGACGCCTACTGTGCGTGGCCCTGTACTTCGGCATCGCTTCTAACCGGGACTGCAGCTTAACACAGAGTTCAGAGAGATCCGGCCTACGAAATGGCGGCGACCGTACAATCCATCCAGAGACACCGCCGACGACGCCATCTTCTTCGTCGGACATGAGGCCGACGGTGGCAGACTTCCAGAGTTCCACTTCCTCATCTGCTAGCACACTCTGCCTCGCTTTCAGCAGCTGGAAAAAAAAACAATGAATCAGCGCACTGCGTATGGACACAACACATCTATCAATGCACCTGAAAAATAGTCACCAAATAAAGTCTTACCCTCTTTCTTCTGGCCCGACTCCGAGCAGATAGCCTCCGCACGCAGCGTGTTGGCTGGCTGCGTATATCTGAAGCTCCTGCGTACCGTCTCAAAATACGTCTTACAGGCAGCTGGAAAACAATTAAATGAGAGTGGTATAAATAAAAAATCAAACGCAGGTCACAGTAACAAGGAAGGAGAAAACATTAAAACAAGTCACTTACACACAATGTCGTCTTTATCAACATCGTGTAAATCTGGACTTGCTGATATGGCTCCGAGCAAATAGGAGGTCACCGCCTCATTGTGAGGTGACAGTAGTCTGTGAAAACAAAATGTAAAAGCTATGATCGGTATCCATCCGTATCCATTTCCTTTTACCGCAGAATGAAAGCATATTCTTTAAATCTTACCCTTGCTCCGGTTCATAGCGCCTGCAATTAGTCTCCGAGTTGTGAAGACGGCATACTGCTTCCTGTGAATCACAAAAAATGCACTTTCATAAAGCTTGTTCTTGCAAGGCTACTATTAGCCGTAGCTTTAGGCTAGGCTGCTATTAGCCGTAGCTTTAGGCTAGGCTGCTATTAGCCATAGCTTAGGCTAGGCTGCTTTTAGCTTAGCAACAGTAATCGAACATATATTTACCGCTAGCTTCTCTTCTTTGAGTTCGTCTTGTTCGATGCAGAGTCGCCATCGCGTCCAAGAGGAGTTTTACCCCGAAATCCCACATACTCCGCTCCAGACCGCCTGCACAAAGCAAAGCATGCGTTCTTCTTCTTCTTCTTCTTCTTCTTCTTCTTCTTCTTCTTCTTCTGTTGTTTTATGGCGGATTGGCAGGTCAACGTAAAAGGTGCATTTCCGCCACCTACTGATCTGGAGTGTGGAGTGCACAATTTTGGAAGACTGCGCTATACCCCAAAAAAAAAAAAAAAAGAATCCTATAACTAAATCCTATTAATTGTTCCTGTATCTTTTAGATATTTGAATAATATTTCATGAACTCTTGTTTGTCTTATCTCGTTTCCTAACAATGCTTTTATTGAATTCCCATTAATCCCTATTTTTCTCAACTCTTGTATGAACTTCATTCTCTCCCTTACATACGCAGTATACTCAAAAATAATATGTTGTACTGTTTCTGGATCTCCGCATTTGTCACAATTTCCTGTTTCATGTTTCCCTTTAAAAAGACTGTAGTTTAATGCTGTGTGACCTATTCTTAGCCTTGAAATAATTATATCTTTTTTCCTATTTCCATATCTTTTCCTCTCCTTTCCAATAAACTTTTGAATCTGTTACAAATGTCTTCCTTTTGACTCATTATTCCATATCGTTTGCCATTTCTTTCGAGTTTCAATTGTAATCAATATTTTCATTTCTGATTTACTTAAAAATACATTCATTTCTATTTGCTGATGATTTAATGCTTTCTTTGCTAGCTTGTCCGCTTTCTCATTTCCATCTACAGCCACATGTGCTGGCACCCAGAGAAAGTATACTAGTATTTTTAACTGCCTTATTCTAAATAGACTTTGCAATACTTCAAATATTAAATCATGCCTAGTTTCAGATTTTCCACATAGAAGACTATTTAGCGTAGCCATTGAGTCTGTACATATTACAGTTCTTAGTGGTTGAACTTCTTCGATCCACTGTAGTGCTAATATGATAGCTAATACTTCAGTTGTAAATACTGACACATGATTAGATATTCCTTTTGCAATTTTTATTTTGAATGTCGGAATGTATACTGCTGCTGCTGTTCTTCCAGACTCTGGCTCCTTAGACCCATCTGTATATACCTGTAGAACTGAATAATATTCTTTACTTAAATGTTGTTGTACTATGATATCAGTTGGTGTATTTTTCCCCCGTTTATTCATTATTTTTTGTATTTGTAAATCGATCACTGGTGTAGAAAACATCCAAGGGGGAATTGCTGGTATTGGAACAGTTGGGGTTATTACATAATCTTTCAAATTCAAACTGCTTGCCTCTTTCTTTACTACCCATCCAAAGCTTTGTATTTCGTTATATTCATATTCCCAACAATCTTTCAGAAGAAGTCTGACCGGATGATTTTCTTCATGTCCTTTTACACTAGCCCAATATCTCATTCTCAGTTGAGTCCTTCGTTGTTCAAGTGGCATTTCTCCCAATTCAACTATGATACTACTGGAGATGATCTAAATGCTCCACAACAAATACGTAAAGCCTGATTTTGTATAACTTCTATCTTATTAAGTAAGGTTTTATTCGCAGAGTGAATTCAAAGTGAATCATCTCAGACTCATTTCTTGAAACTTTTCCACTTAAGTAATTGTGAATTGAGCATATTGACAGACAACATTTTATTTTTTATCTTAAATGCAATTTTTTTTTTTTATAATTACTGCTCTAAATGTATTGCTCTGTCAGCTAAAGATCTGTTTTGGTCTCTATACTCTAATTAAATAAATCAATTCAAGCTAAAATGTAAGAGGCTATACTGAGCCTGATCTCTTTGTATCAGAGATTTTCTTACCTTTTAGAAAAATGTCACTTGGAGTAAACCCCCCCCCTGCAACCCTGGTTTGCATTTGTATAGCTTACAGCATGTTCATTTACATGTTAAAGCCTCCCCTAGAATTCCATGGGGGGGAGGCATGGGGGGAACACTGCCTAAGAAAGTCAACGTCAATTTCTGACAATTTACGGGAGTTTTCGGCGAAGCCTGCAAATCGCCGTAAACTGAAGTTCCACGACAATCTACAGTGCCGCATATTGACGAAAATCCCACTTTTCATGCAGTGTATGTTTAGGGGTTGCCACCAATACGGCCACAGCAGCCCCAGGCGGTCACATTAACAATGGAAGCAGAGAACATAGTCCTCATATGTCCTCAGCCGTCCCTGGAATCGAGAATAAGCTCTACTGGAGGTGAAGTTCTTCTGAAGTATGATACAATAATAATAATAATAATAAAATAATAATAATAATTATTATTATTATTAAGTATGATACGTCTATCACCGTTGGGAATGTCTGTCTGACAATCCAGGCAGAACCTCACTGTTCGCTTGGGCCTGCCAGGTTAGTCCAGTTTCCTCCTTTTACAGCATATCCAACTCACCATCAAGGGGCAATTGGTGGACAGATCTGGTTTTCTTTAGCAAAGTATACAAGACACACAGCTGGAGGTCAAAAGATATCACTAAAAAAAACTACACGTCAGGCCTAGGGTGTCCTGGTGCTGAGTGAACAGCCTCATACTTAAACATAGTGTTCTTTTTGTACAATACCTGATTTGCACAGAAGCCTAATAATGAAATACCAGCCCTCTGGTTAAGAACTTTGGCTCCATTCCTCCCAAACATGCCCCTGCAGTTGTCACTGTCATAATCGCTGTCTGCTGTTTTCCACATTGGCATTGAATTCCCCCAGTAGAATGACGAAATCACAGAGAGTTGCGCTAGCCAGAAACCCTGCCTGGGACACTAATGTGGTTTCTCAACCTGTATGTATACTTGTGCGTTCTCATGTGCTCGTGAAACGTCATCAGCCTCAGCCCTAGTACTGTTCACAAGAACAGCAGACCAAGAACCGATAAAGTCCCCTGATGTTGTTCTGGCCCCTCCCTCTTTACCCAGCATGCATCAGAGAAGACTCGTCCATGCTCCAGACTGACAGATGTCACAGCATGCACTGCGGCAGCAGCAGCTTCCAGGTTAGCGCTCTCAGAGCTCAGAGTATTATGTTAAAAGTTATTTTCTGTTGCCATTGTTCAATAAAAGTAAGTTTTAAGATCATTTGAGGCGAGAATATTAGACTTTAAGCGTCACTACATGGTCCATTTACTGATTTAATGTGTAATTTTAAAAAAATTCCGAAGCTGAGAGGAGCGCAGCAACCAGTGGACCTCCGAGGGTAATGGCAGCTAGGGCTAACGTTAGCCCGTCTGCAGCGGCCGGGGCTAACGTTAGCCCGTCTGCATCAGCCCTCTCTCTGCATAGCCTTGTGTGAAGTACTGCTGGCTCTGATGGAGGTTTGATTGTTTTATTTGGAAAAATTTTCATTCGATTTATTTGTGTTTATCTGACTGTGTTCATTATTATTCCTCCACTAAATAAAAAAGTAATAATTTATTATTATCTAGAGACTATTAATAACAGGAGGTGAAATGCAGCTCCAGACTAGCTTTGAATGTGGTGATGTCATCAGTACGCTGTTGTTCCAATTGACCCAGATTTATTCTGCGTGCTCCCGTGTTATGAATGTTGGCATTTGTGGTAGGCCAGCATTCATAACATGTAGGCAAATCACTTTCCTCCAGACATCCGCCGTTATATTTTTTATATTTATATATTTTTTCAAACAAAGTGGAGTGTGTATGACCTAACGGAATATCTTAAGAACAGCTCAATGTAAAAAAAAATGGCATTTCCCTTTAACTTTACAAACGGCACCCCATAGTAGTATGTTTGAGTAACTATGAATTTTTTTTTTTTACTTGCTTGGTCCTATAGTCACTCTTTTATAGATGTAGTAATTTCTCCCTGGGATTATTAAAGTATTTCTGATTCCTGGTTGATGGGACAGGTCTGGTGAATGAAATGGCGCCCAGCCTGAAAGAGCTCCTGTGTGTCGCTGAATGTGTGCATTGATGACTGAAAGACATCTTCTGCCTCCATTTATCTGTTTACTACAGTCTGTTGAATTCATGTTAATGTGATTTTAAAGACATTTCAATTAGTGGAATTAATTGCAGGAAGGAATATAAAAAAAGTCTAATCAATCAAAACATTTGCGACCCCCATGCAGTACCTACATGGACCCCTAGGGGTCGCGGACCCCCTGTTGAAGACCTCTGTTCTAATCCATGTAAAGCCCTTTGAATTGTCCATGTAATGAATTGTGTCATACAAATAAAGTTGCCATGCCTAGGGGTTAAATGCGCCACCATGGGGTTCTTCAATATGTGACAGGAGGGAACTGGAACTCCCAATTTATAGACTGTAGAATATAGACTGTAATTAATTACTCATTGAACAGGTTACATGTAAAGGAGCAAAAACTGTATAGAAGCAAACAAACTAGCAATTATTCTATGAGTTCCCCCGTTTGAAATGTGATAAATGTAGAGTTGTGTAATGAGGCATCCTAAGTTCCCATGTGCTGACCTGATCTCCACCCATGTCCGTACGGACCCAGCCTGGGTGGATGGCCGTCACCAGGATCTTATGGTCCTTGAGGTCTTCAGCTTGACAGCATGTCAGCATGTTTAGTGCTGCCTGAAACAGTAGAACAGTCTTATAAACCGTCCCCCATAAGTATTCAACCCAATCGAACATTTTCACATTTTCTTACATTCTAAACAGATTTCATATTGTAATGAACAGCAGTTTCCCCACAAGGCCACTTTTAGTCTGTGGGACCCCAGGGGGCCCTAGTGAGAGATTACCTTGCTTGTTCTGTAGGGGTACATCTGCGCTGCCTGGAAAGTTTCTGAACACTTCTCCATGGAAGAGAGAAGAGTGGATATGTTGATGATGGCTGACCTTCTGCAGGACATTTCATCACCTGACATGAAACGACAGGAAAAACCTGCATGAGATCCTAAAATAATGATGACCAGGTGTTCTCCACATGCCTGTATTAGAGTTATTAACTTATGGAAGCAAATAAGAAGACTATAGCCTACCGTTGTCCTTTGTCTTTGCAGCTCTCTGAAGGAGAGGGAGAAACACCTGAGAGGATGGAAGTTACAGAGCTGGTTTTAAACTAGGTTTTCATATGTACTAAACATTAGTTCAAAACTATTTATGAGGCATTTTTAAACCTCTGCCCGTTGATCGACTGAAACAGCGCCCAGTTCTGTATTTGCCTTACACTTTTGCCCCTTTTCTACTACTCTCTGAAACCGATCCGTGCCGAGTTCAGACCCAGCTTGGATCAGTTAACCGTGCAGAGCTCGGTTCCTTACGACCGTTAACACATCACGCTACGCTAGCACGGTTCCTCGCCTCATGTCGGCGGTCCACCATACTACAGATCTCAAGATGGGAATAATGCAAACAAAAATGGCGGCGGCCATAACATTCATGAACTTATGTCTGTTTATATTAGTGATATTTCATGGTTTGCGGAATGTCAGGCAAAGAAGGCATCCTTCCCGGTCTCTGCATCATCCCAGGTCACACCACTCTCTTTTGATGCCATTTACCGATAACAGGCTGAGAAGAAGTTTGCGTTGTGAAAAGGTGAAGAGATCTGTGAATAGCAAAGCTGGACACTGTGGAAAACCTGCAAAATGAGTCAGCTGACTGTAAATAAGCTCTTCTCTGCATTTGCTGTCTGCTTAACTTTACATGGCAGACCTGGATTTTACTGAGTGATTCAAATCAATTCAGTTTATTTCTATAGCTCCAATTCATGACACATGTCATCTCAGGTCACTTTCCAGTTCACCAGATCATCCAGTCAGATTGATTCAAAGTTTACTATCTGAGGAAAACCAGTTGATTGCATCGACTCATTGACTCTTCAGCAATCCCTCACACTAAGCATGCTTGTAGCGACAGTGGAGAGGAAAAACTCCCTTTGAACAGGAAGAAACCTCCAGCAGAACCAGGCTCAAGGAAGAGTAAGAAAAATGTCTCTCTTATATAATCTCTGTTATTAATATCGAAATAATATTTTGATAATCCTCATTGACTTAAAAAAGGAAATGTTTAGCATGATTTGATGTCAGAGCACTTTTAAAGTCGTAGGCAAGTGGCTTGTCTAATGGTGGCATTTTCTAATTCTCCAAAGTGGTGCCCGACTTTACACAAGTGACTAAAGTGAATGTGATTGGTCGATTATCAAGGGGGCGGGATTGTTGTGGCAGAAGGTTCACAAGCAAGTTTGGTTGTGGCCGGTTTGTCAGAAGCATCTTGCTAACCAGTTAGCAACTTAGTGCTAGCAGTTTCCCAATGGGAAATTCCATTGGGACCAAGTAGCACTAAATTGGTGACTTAGAAACGACACTGTCAAGGAACGCTATGGACAGAGGAAATATGCAAGAGGAGGAGAGTTTAGTGTTGGAGGTCGTGGTTGAGTCTCCTCCGTCATCCATTTTTTAGTTAGAGGAGGAAAGCGGGGACGAAGATGTTGTGGAAGAGCCGTACATGTTTGAGCCCTTGCCTCGCAACGCTGCCAGTTCTGTTAGCTCTACGCCTGCTGAAGACACAGATGTCCATCCCCGTGAACACTGGGACGGAACTCAATGGGAAAGGAAATGATTTGGATTTCAACCTTTGCCTATATTAGCTGTGACATATAAACAAAATGCTAGGACCGAAAACATTTGATTGACAGATTACCGTTGATATATAATTGGCCGAATTTAGGTGTTCAGGCTGACGTATAACTAACTGGCCTGCAGAAGATAACAGAAAAAAATACACAGATTTTAAGAAAGGATTTTTTTTATATAAATTTTCTAACTTTTGGGACAATATGGTCTGATAAAGAGTACATTTATATACATGTTTAAGCCAGAATGATTTGAAATTTAAACATGACTTCCCTACAACTTTAATATCTCCAATATAAATAGGTAGTTTTAACACTGACTAGAAAACTAAAAAGATCTAAAAATTGGTTTGAAAAACCACCTTTGTGAGGATAAACGGTCCAGCGACGTTGGTTTCATAAACTTCCATCATGTCCTTTTTGCTGGTGTCTTTCATTGATCCTGGGGCAGCTGGTTTGTTGAGGGCAGCGTTATTAATGAGGAGGTTTAGCCCAGCAGATCCAACCTGCCGGTTCAACATCTGGAAGGCAGCTGAGATACTGTCTTCATCCGACGTATCTACAAACGGACAGGAAGTTATTCAGCTAAGAAAGCCTACTTTACCAAGGTGCTATACGTTTGTCAATGTTTTACTGTCCAGCCAGTTAGATAATCAGATGATTTACTGATCAGTTAGACCTTTCAATTCAATTCAGTTTACTTCTATAGCTCTAATTCACATAATGTATCTCTGGTCACTTTACAGTTCACCAGATCATCCATCTAAGGAAAACCAGCTGATTGCATCGACTCATTGACTCTTCAGCAATCCCTCACACTAAGCATGCTTGTTGCGACAGTGGAGAGGAAAAACTCCCTTTTTACAGGAAGAAACCTCCAGCAGAACCAGGCTCAGTGTGAGCGGCCATCTGCTGAGGCCGACTGGGGTTCAAGGAGACAGAAGCAGACATAGAAATAGAAGCATAGATACAAAAGGCAACTGTCAACCAGCTCCACAGGGGGCCCCGTCCAGGAAACACACAGCCAGGCAGACGAGCTCCGAGCCAGCTCCCATGTCAGAGGATGAAGAGAGCACATCCAGTTAGTCACAGTCAGAGAAACAGGACTACACTGAAAAACAGGCCAAGCTCCAACATCTAGAAACAAAGGTGTTGATGGCAGCAGCACAGCTGATATTTCTCTCCAGGATGGAGTCACAGCCAAACAGGAACAGACCAGATGAAGCTACTATGAGAAAAAGCAGAGAGAGCAGAGCGTTAGAGATTTAAATAACAGATTCTGCAGAGTGGGAGAATAGAGATAGAATGAAGCAGAATGATGAAAAAGGGGTCTCTATGTCCTCCAGTAGTCTAAGCCTATAGCAGCATAATAGCATCATAGAGGTATTTTTCTCTTTGATAGTTGATTCAGCTCATTCTGCTGACAGAAAGCAATCAGGCTGAACTTTGGACTTGGTATATCGCTGTGTTTGGTTTTCAAACATTACGCAACATGTTTGGTGTCAGTTAAACAAACCGTACTGACTTTGCAGATGGAGAAGGCTTTTTCTTGGCAGCCCTACTAATTGATGTATTGTAGCTGAGGTGATATATTTTGACCTGCTGACTGCGCTCTGTCAGACACAGCACTCAAGTTCTAGTAGTGGATTTCCTGGGAGCTTCTCTCAGATTGATGGGCAGCAACATTTGCTTATTTTAACTTATTTAATCTCCTTAGTGATGTATTAAAGGTCAAATATAACCTGGATACTAAACTAACAACCAGACTAACTGGATACTTTTTTGCCTTCTGACCTCCATCAAGTGTTTACTTCGTTTTTTCCACTGACCGTACAAAGAGACAGTTACATATTCTGTGTTTTCAGTATGAGGTAAAGTTAGGACACCCAACCCACTGTTAACTAGAGTTTTGCCCTTTCAGTTAGACAATTCAGTCTCTAATGTCTGGGGAAGGTTTGTCTCTTTTGTCTGAACTGACTTTCTAACATAAATAATGCATTAAATAAATTATGCATTAAAGTCAGTTTCTGCAATATGGATTATTTAGTGATTATATTTGAATTTCATAAAGCTCCTGTCACATCTTGATGATTTAGACCAGCTTATGCCTGACGTACGGAAAATCTGGCAAAACCGCTGGCATACCTTGGATAAATTATGGGTAAGTTTTCTATAAGTTATAAGCACGCTGAAACACGTCGACATCTAGAAATTTTGAGCTTGCTCCAAATTTCCCAACAAATGTCAGCGTCTGCCATACGTGGGCCAGAAGTTTCAGGTCAGTTATCTGATGGTTGACATACAATAAGTGATAGTTACTCATAGGTTGTGGCGTCTAGCTTATCAAAAACCCAGTTATGCCATTTTAGTCCAATAAGAGACGTATATCACTTCCTCTTTTCAACCAAATTTTGCCAGGTGGGTACCCAGGGAGAACCCATGCATGGACGGGGAGAACATACAAACTCCATGCAGAAAGTCCCCGGGCGGGAAAACAACAACAGCGCTACAAACTGCATGACCTTTACAAACTGATGCACCGCCCCCAAGGTTTAGAGCGTTTTACAGATCCTCCATTTTCTCTGAGGACAAAGCAAAGCTGGAACCTTGAAATTGATCATCCAGTTTATTTAGATTTAAATATTGTGAAGCAGCCTATCAAGTCCATCCAGTCAGTCGAGTGGTGTCTCTAGATGCATCCCTGACAAATGATCTCCTTTCTGTTCCTCCTCTGGGAGGAAAGGAATCTGTGTGTAATGTGCCGTGGCAGTTGGCCACAGCCTTGGCAGTCACCTCTACTTCTGTTTTCAAGTTTTCCATTGCAGCATTTTACAGTTGATTTTACTCCTTATCAAACTTGAACTTCAGGATAGGCATGTTTTTGCAGTTCCAGAACATCCACAGATCACAGTGACTAATCCACCCTTGTAACCCCAGAAGCTATGGATAACCAGCTATACAAAGTCATGAATCTATTAGCAATTTAAGGTATTTAGTGTTTAACTGATAAAATTACATCATTACAATACATCTTATGATACTGATTGAATTATTTGTTTTCAACCTACTGCTGGGTGTGGGTTTGCTCATGGAAACTTGTTTTTCCTGTGTTTTTGATTCTATCGCTCACATTTTCTAACAACAGCAAACAGGACAAAGTGTTACAATAAAGCATGAAAGGTGCAGCAGCCTGTCGCCTCTGTCATATGTTTTTGTTGCACATCCAGAGACTAAAAAACTGAAGTGTAAAGGTTTGTCTTCATTCCTTTTTAAGGTGTGTTGCATTTACCTAACTTGATTACAGTGATTTTTCCAGGGAACTGAGTGACCAGGTCCGTCAGAGGCTGATGAACACAAAGACAGAAGACATGAGGTAAGAAAACATGGAGAGTTAGTGACACACAGATTATGTGACTCATTGTTCTGATCATCTCTGTCCAATGAGTCTTATTGATTCAAACTCCTTCACACTTGCCCACTTCCTCATTTTTCTCGAACTGCTGTGTTTTGACTCTGCAGAACAATCAACAGTTTTTTATCCTGACAGGCAGTCCTTAAATGTGATACAGGAATGATAGAGTAGAGAAAAGAGCAATCCATTAAAGACACCATGTTAGCTCTTTTTTATCACCCTGACCACAGATGTCCTCCTACTGGCTCACTAGTAGCAGCCTTTCAAAATGGCCCCTTCCCAGTCAAAAGCCAGCCGAATGGCAGCGAAATCCCATCCAACTTCCTGGAGTGACACCCTCTTGGTTAAAGACTCCACCCTTTAACGGAATTACAGGGTATGACCAGGAGATGGCGCTTCTTTTTAGATCTTAAAGTCCACAAATCATGACAGAATATTTTAGTACAAAGATTGAAAAGGAATTGTAGGGGACCAGTCAAGGACCAGCCAAGGACCAGCCAAGGATTAGCCAAGGACCAGCCAAGGATTAGCCAAAGACCAGCCATGGACCAGCCAAGGACCAGTTAAGGACCAGCCAAGGACCAGCCAAGGATTAGCCAAAGACCAGCCATGGACCAGACAAGGACCAGTTAAGGACCAGCCAAGGACCAGCCAAGGACCAGCCAAGGATTAGCCAAAGACCAGCCATGGACCAGCCAAGGACCAGTTAAGGACCAGCCAAGGACCAGCCAAGGATTAGCCAAAGACCAGCCATGGACCAGACAAGGACCAGCCAAGGATTAGCCAAAGACCAGCCATGGACCAGCCAAGGACCAGTTAAGGACCAGCCAAGGACCAGCCAAGGATTAGCCAAAGACCAGCCATGGACCAGACAAGGACCAGTTAAGGACCAGCCAAGGATTAGCCAAAGACCAGCAATGGACCAGCCAAGGACCAGTTAAGGACCAGCCAAGGACCAGCCAAAGACCAGCCACGGATTAGCAAGGACAAGCCAAGGACTAGCCAAGGATTAGCCAAAGACCAGCAATGGACCAGCCAAGGACCAGTTAAGGACCAGCCAAGGACCAGCCAAGGATTAGCAAGGACAAGCCAAGGACTAGCCCAGGATTAGCCAAAGACCAGCAATGGACCAGCCAAGGACCAGTTAAGGACCAGCCAAGGATTAGTAAGGACAAGCCAAGGACCAGCCAAGGATTAGCCAAAGACCAGCAATGGACCAGCCAAGGACCAGTTAAGGACCAGCCAAGGATTAGTAAGGACAAGCCTAGGACCAGCCAAGGATTGGCCAAAGACCAGCAATGGACCAGCCAAGGACCAGTTAAGGACCAGCCAAGGATTAGTAAGGACAAGCCAAGGACTAGCCAAGGATTAGCCAAAGACCAGCAATGGACCAGCCAAGGACCAGTTAAGGACCAGCCAAGGATTAGTAAGGACAAGCCAAGGACCAGCCAAGGATTAGCCAAAAACCAGCAATGGACCAGCCAAGGACCAGTTAAGGACCAGCCAAGGGTCCATCAGGGAAAGTGGGCAAATTTTGAATGGCTACTACTGTAATACCCCTTTCCTAATGCCCGAAAACCAGTTTAAACCCGGAAACAATGGGCTTTAGTGGCAGCGGGAACAGCTCACTGACCCATGTCTACCCGGGTCAAACGACTCGGCAAGAGACCCCTGTTAAAATCACCTCGGCTCTGATCGGCATGCAGTGGAAACACCAGAACGGGGTCGACCTGCTAAAATATGTGATACCATTGAATGCAACGTACGGACATCAACACACAGCACCAGTCGCTTCTGATCTAACAAGCAGAAACACGATAAACATGGAGCAGCTCTGATGAGAGGGATTCAGACAGATTATAGAGAGAATCAATAAAGCTCACTGACTACGCCCTGGCTTCCTTCCGTTTTGCTCTCCACTGTTTACTTTCCTGATTTCTGTCGCACTGGTGACATCAAAGCTAACCCAGCTGATGATGATGATATCATCAGACATGCAGCTGCAGGAGGGTCAGAGGCAACGGACTGCCAGCGAGGGGTTAGACCAGCTTTTTATGCCAGTGGGAAGGGAGCCAAATGCTGATTGCTAGCGGGTCAACAAATATTAGAAAAACATGCGTCAACCTGCTATTTCCATGAGGAAAGGGGTTTAAGTCGGGCATACACTCAACGATTTTTTTGCTGGTTTTAGGACCAATTCTCCAGTCGTGTGAGAACTTTTCGATCGGACCGAGTTTCAGCCTGATTGTGCGTTGTGTCGCAGGGGGTAACGAGGGGTGATCAGCCTCTAACGACCACCTCCTGATCAGGAATCGAAACGTTGGGAGAAAATTAAACACGTTGGAAATTCAGTTGTCCGTTGTAAGGTGGTCGTGGGCAAATCCCGCTGTTGAGCAGAGTTCTAAGCTGATTAACCAGAACCTTGAGCACTGCACTTGAGGTTCGGGTAAATCAAACTGTAAATCCTGCAGTTTCATTGTAGTTTGAGCTGTATGCCCGGCTCAAAGGGACTTTGTCTAACCTAAACCATTACTTTAATGAAGTGAAACAATGATTAGAGTCATAGGGAAGCAGCTGTTCCAACCGTTGCATTTCCGAATTCTCCCGAGGGTGCCCGACTTTACACGAGTGGATAAAGTGAATCTGATTGGTCGATTATCAAGGGGGCGGGATTGTTGTGGCTGAAGGTTCGCAAGCAAGTTTGATTGTGGCCGTTTTGTTGGAAGCATCTTGCTAACCAGTTAGCAACTTAGTGCTAGCAGTTTCCCAATGGGAAATTCCATTGGGACCAAGTAGCACTAAATTGGTGACTTAGAAACGACACTGTCAAGGAACGCTATGGACAGAGGAAACATGCAAGAGGAGGAGAGTTTAATGTTGGAGGTCATGGATGAGTCTCCTCCGTCATCCATTTTTATTTAGAGGAGGAAAGCGGGATGAAGATGTTGTGGAAGAGGACGCCAGGGCGGCAGAAGCTTGGTTTGGTGTAGAAGGCTTCCAGCCGTACATGTTTGAGCCCTTGCCTCGCAACGCTGGCAGTTCTGTTAGCTCTACGCCTGCTGAAGACACAGACGTCCATCCCCGTGAACACTGGCACGGAACTCAATGGAAAATTAATCTGATTTCTTATTTCAACCATTGCGTATATTAGCTGCGACATATGAATCAAGATGCTTTGACCAAAAACATTTGATGGACAGATGACCGTTGATATATGATTGGCCGAATTTAGGTGTTCAGGCTGACGTGTAACTAACTGGTCTGCAGAAGATGAGAAACAACACAGATTTTAAGTGAGTATTTTTTTTAAAATAGAAATGTTCTAACTTTTGGGACAATATGGTCTGATAAAGAGTACATTTATATAATTTTTTTAAGCCAGAATGATTTTACATTTAAATATGACTTCCCTACAAATTTAACGTTTTCTGATTTTGAAGGATTTTTTTAGAGCAGAACTCTCTTAGAGTTGGGATGAAATATGTTGTGTATCATAAATGTTAACTATTAAGCTTCAGTAGTGCGAGTCTGAATGCATGAAAATTACTTTTAATCAACTCCATCCTCAGAAAGATTTTTTCTTTAAAATTATAAAGAGTAATTTACCTTAGCTCCTTTCGGATCTCTGCAGCTGGCATAAATGTGAGCTTCTTGTTGGGTTTTCTCTGCCAGCTGTTTAACAAACTCCAAACCAATACCTCTGCTGGTCCCAGTTACCAAAATGTTGCCGTCCAGTTTCACTGACATGTTAGCAGTTGAAACGCTGCGTGCTTTCTGCCAGTACAACCAGTCGGTCTTACTAAAGATTACAGTGATGCTGTAAGTGTGCTCTGATGTGTCATAGGCAGACGCCGTAACGCTGCGAGGAAAAGATCTTCTCTGTCATTCTGTCAACATGCAGGACTTATTACACATCCATCATCTACACAGCAGGAACCATGTGACCTTCACCCACACCAGGTAAAGAAATAGAAAATGATTATCTAGCAAGTTCTGCCAGTTTTTTCCCCCCTCATCTTATACAAACTAAACCAAGACTTTGACCCTGTTTGAACATTGATTTTACATTTTAAGCTGTTTTAGGGAGTAATGATGAAAGCAGAGTTCACATAAACACTGAATACCAAGAGAGAGCCCCCTGAGGTAATCATTAACCAATCAAAGTCTGAACATGGAGGCCCTGTGTGCTTAAACTCCCCCACAGAGAATTCATTTAACAGCTAATTTTTGTTGCGACAGATCGCATGCAGCCAGCCTGCCTCATTTTAGAGAAGTACAGAATGTACTGACTGAAAAACTTAAACAAAAACCTGTTAGAGGCTGAAGCACTAAGCAACTGATAACGTCTCAGTCAAACTGCAGACGTATAACCCATTTCTTTATTCAAGCAGTGGATTGCCAATGTGAATGCAACTGTTTCCTGGATGGGCCGCCTGTGGAGCCGGTTGACAGTTGCCTTTTGTATCTATGCTTCTTTTTCTATGTCTGCTTCTGTCTCCTTGAACCCCAGTCGGCCTCACTGACTGCCTGCTCAGCAGTCAGTCAGGATTGGTGGCTCTGGATATGAGCAATATTAGAAAGACAGGAAAAAGGGCTGGATCATTAACTCCTGAATGCAAAGCTTTTCAAAAGTTCCAAAGTGTTTATGTGATAGACCGACGCCGATTAGAGCATAAATGTGAGGTGTTGTGTTCTCAGCCCCATTACTCTGAACTACAAAATAAAATAAAGTGGAGTTACTGCCTGCATGCCTAAATCACACTATTACATAGTTATTACTATGGAAAAGTATGTAATTGAGTAATATATAGTTATAATATGTATGTAGGGCTGCAACTAATGAATGGTTTGCAAATTGATTAATCTGTTGCTTCTTTTTTAGATTAATAATTGGATAGCAAAAGGTTCCTTAAAGGAGATTTTTTTCCCCAAATTTAACCAGGGGAAACTAAAACTTTTCACTAATGATCACAGTTTAAAGGAGTGTTTCGTTATTGAGCTAATTTTAATCTATTCTTTTTGTTTACTTATGATCACCTGGTTTCTCCTGTTGCTGCCCTTGGTTTCTGTTTGGGATCTGTCTCTCTTTTGCATTACGTCAGGTTTCTCCCATGTTTCCTCCACTGCTCAGTATCCTCCCTCTTCCTCAACTCGTTATCTTGATTCTCTTCAGCTGCTTTCTTCTCTCTCGCCCTCCTTTCATTAAAGTAGTTGTTTTTTTTTTTGTTTTTTTTAGTATCCTCACCAGAATCTTTAATTTTTTGGTCTCATGTCTCTCTGCCTCGTTCCTGTTTCTGCCATCCCAGTTATTCAGAGCTTATTCTGAGTTCTGCAAAAAAAAGAAATATTTAATCTCTACTATAATCTGTATTTTATTTCTCCTTTAAACGCACCAGCACAGGTGTAACAATGAGCCGTTGTTATCTGTATATTCGCTGAAATTACATTTAAACACGGCATCTGGTTTTGTAGTTTGGTTTATTGAGGTTGTTTTGGGTGCAGAGGATTTGTTTGGGGTGTGGTTTTTTTGGTAGGCCACATGTTCAGGTTTTAATTTTTCTAAATTTCACTTTGCATTTCTATTTTAATTTTTTTTCTTTAACTCTTCGTAAAAAAGAGAAACATGGATTAAAGAGGTAAAATATCACAGCTCATTGTGAAATAATCACCTCTGCTGTTTCTCTCTCCAAGCAGGTGTGCACAGGACTGCACCATTGGAGAATCGAGGGGGGGGTATATGCTGTTTTCTATGTTAGTTTTGAGCATTTGTTTTGGTTGAATTAAAATATTTGTATTGGTTGGTAAATGTATTTCGTAATTAGCTGTTCATTTAAAACAAATATTCTTTTTTGCTTATTTTGCAGCTGTATATGCCTTTTATAATGGTTTCTTCCAATTTGGTTCCACCTCTATATAACAAACATGTCTGCCATTGTCCTGGGTCGATGTGGTTTGGTTGATGTGCTGCACCAGGAAAAAATGAAAGACTTTCAACCAGGTTGGGTCCCACGTGGCCTCCTGACGAGTCACTGACAACAGGACAAACAATCTTTTGAGGTCTCTTCAGCAAGATGCAATCAGCTGGTTTTCCTTAGATAGAAAACTTTGAATCAATCTGACTGGATGATCTGGTGAACTGGAAAATGACCTGAGATGACATGATGTGAATTGGAGCTCATTATTACACAACAACCCTGTTTAAAATAAAACCTTTATTATATAAAAGTGATTTAGATACAAAAATTCAGAACTGTATATCAAACTAGGCATTTGAAACTGAGACAGCCTCCAGAGTTTTACTGACAGTGGTTTTTAGCCCTTGAGAAAACGGTCAGTGGTCCTAAGGGTTGGGATGGATGGCGGAGCTGCGCTGCAGTAGCAGCAGCAGCAGAAACCCAGCAGGCTGGATTAGCAACCAGCTCAGGCATCTTATCCTCAGATAGCTTCACTGGAAACAGCAGAGGATGCTTCTCTCTCAATCCTCTCCGCTGTTTCTCTTTTATGATGAGGATTCAAACCGCTGCTTTAATGGCAGGATGCAGCTGTTAAACTGGAAGCAGGGGTTTTTGTTTGTTCTAGGAATGTTGATAAACTGTTGATAAACTCATGAAAGAAGTGCGCCCCCTGCTGGTTCTCTGCAGTTTTTCTGTCACACAAAATACATTTGAGATTTTAAACAAGATTAGAAAAAAAAAAAAAAAATTTTTTAGATGGTAAAACAAATATATCCATGAACAGTGAAGGCTTTTATGAAGAAAATTCTGAATTAACATGATTGTGATTGGCAACAATATCCCATAATGCCCTGATGGAAGGCGACAGAGAGCCGAGGAGCCAGTAGCTGCTTTACATCTGGCCAGGTTGGTTTAGATGGCTCCTTTATAAATAAAGTTATCATTTTAATAAGTTTGGATTTATTAAGACTGATTTTGTCTAAACTATTTAAATTAATTTGATGTTTAAAAACACTAAAGATGTGAAGAAGTAAACTGCCTCAAGGCATTTTCATGTTTCCATCGCAGCTTCATTACATTGACCTTAAAAAGGGCATGATGATGATGATGATGATGATGAAGCAACATCTAAATGCTATTAGTTGGGGGCTAATCCAAAATAATCCAGGAAGATTTTACAAAAAAAAGCATAAGAAAATTATTTCCACAATATATATATATATATATATATATATATATATATATATATATATATATATATATATATATATATATATATATATATATAAAAATATATATATATATTTTACAAAATGAGACTGAAATCAAGATGAAGGTAAACGGTATGAGTGAAACAAGCTTTGGTTTTGTTCTAGAAGTTTCCACGGTTCCTGGGTTTGGGTCCAATTAGAGTTGAGGCTGACGGTGAATACAGACGAGTACATGCTAGCAGAAATATACTAACGCAAAAAAACGCTGGAGAATAATTCGTTATTAGTTGTAAAATAGCTTCATCATCTGTTGTCAGGATGACAAGGATCATTTTGGCATTTCGGAGTAATGTCATAGCATCTGGTTGATTCTGTACATAATAGCAGCAAAGGTACATTTGGTAAACTGGACCAGGAGAAGAAGGTCAGAGGTCGGATTCCCGAAGGTTGGCTCTCACTTCATAAATGACTTCATTCCACATGCAGCGTGTAGCTTATAGCTCGACCTGTTCCTGCTTGTTAGCCGGTGACCCTCAGCTAAAGGTCACAGAGTCACAGGTTCCATCCAAAGAGTCCAGACTTTCACACAATCAGACTTTAGAGTTCATTTAAGGGCACGTGTTGGTAGAGGAAGGAAAGGATGTGAGGAAGGATGGATAGAAGCAAAGGAGAGGAGACGAAGAGGAAATCAGAAGGAAACTTGGAAGGAATGGAGGACGCAGGAAAACATTGAGAAGAGACCAGGATAAAAGGTGGAAAACAGGATTATTTAAGAAAAAAAGTCTGGAGAAGAAAAGATCTTCCTCAATCCCGTATTCATCCACACCTGGAAAACACTGAAAAGATTTTCCAAACTTTTCCAGCCTCCAGTCATTCAGTCAGTCTGCTTCTCATCAGGAAAATGTCCAGAAGACAGACAGTGGAGCGGATCCGGGGACAGGAGGAGAACGGCGGCTTCAGGCTCACAGGACGGTCATTTAGTGGGGGGGTGGGGGGTTCGCTGATTTATCTTCTGAGGTTTTGAGGTAAAGCATCAGCAGCACAGCTTAGCTCCTCAAGCGCGGGGGGGTCGACCTGAGGCTGACTGGAATGACAGAGGAAGGAGGAGCTTAGAGGCTCCTAACCTGGTTTCACGTCCGTTCGTCCAGAAGCAGATTCACTGGTTCACTTCATCCCTTTGTTTCTCTATGGGGTGGGTGGGGGGGGGGGGGGTCACGACGAGTCGGTGCAAGGTGAAGGAGGAGGGGGGCACAGGTGGAAGTAGGATCGTTCAGTGGACGGGGAGGGGGGGCAACTTTCCTCAGCGGACATGTACTGAGAGCGTGGGGTGGGGGGCGGGGGGGTAGGGGTCAGAGTCTGAGTTCAGGTCCATGTAGTATTTATGAGGTTTTCCAGGGACGGCGTGACCCGAGGCCTTCCAGCGTCCTGCTGACAGCGGAGGAGCAGTGGGGATGGGGTGGGGGGTGTAGTCACTGTCACAGACGTCTGTGCTGCAGGGGGTGGTGGGGGGGGCAGCCCCACGCACTGGGTGGTACGGCCTGTGGAGGAAACAAGAGAGAGTTAGTACAGAAGACGATGTTTTGCTCTCAGCATCAGCAGCATTAGCACTAGCAGAAGCGTTAGTATCATCAGTAGCGTTAGCGTTAGCAGCAGCGTTAGAATCATTAGCATCAGCGTTAGCAGCATTAGCATCATCAGCGGCATTAGCACCAGCAGAAGTGTTAGTATCATCAGTAGTGTTAGCAGCAGCTTTAGAATCATTAGCATCAGCGTTAGCAGCATAAGCAGCATCAGCATCATCAGCAGCATTAGCAGGATTAGCATCATCAGCAGTGTTAGCAGCTCAGTAGCATTAGCAGCAGTGTTAGAAGCATTAGCAGTATTAGCATCAGCGTTAGCAGCATAAGCAGCATCAGCATCATCAGCAGCATTAGCAGGATTAGCATCATCAGCAGTGTTAGCAGCTCAGTAGCATTAGCAGCAGTGTTAGAAGCATTAGCAGTATTAGCATCATCAGCAGTGTTAGCAGCATTAGTATCATTAGCAGTGTTAGCATTCTCAGCAGCATTACCATCATCAGCAGTGTTAGCATTATCAGCGGTATTAGCAGCATTAGCTGTATTAGCATTCTCAGCAGCGATAGCAGTGTTAGCATCAGCAGCAGCGTTAGCACCATAAGCAGCGATAGTAGCATTAGCATTATTAGCAGCGTTAGCAGCAACAGTATCATCAGCAGCGATAGCAGCGTGAGCGGCATTAGCGTCATCAGCATGATTAGCAGTATTTGCGGCGTTAGCACCAGCATCATCATCAGCGTTAGCAGCATCGGTATCATTGGCAGCAATAGCAGCGTTAGCGTCATCAGCAGGATTAGCAGCGTTAGCACTAGCATCATTAGCAGCGTTAGCAGCATCAGTATCATCAGCAGCGATAGCAGCGTTAGCGGCATTAGCAGGATTAGCAGTGTTAGCAGCATTAGCGTCATCAGCAGGATTAGCAGCGTTAGCACTAGCATCATTAGCAGCGTTAGCAGCATCAGTATCATCAGCAGCGATAGCAGCGTTAGCGGCATTAGCGTCATTAGCAGGATTAGCAGCCTTAGCGGCGTTAGCACTAGCATCATTAGCAGCATCAGTATCATCAGCAGCGATAGTAACGTTAGCGGCATTAGCATCATCAGCAGGATTAGCAGCGTTAGCGCTGTGAATTTTCTGCGTCAGACATGGAGCAATGAGCCACAGACGGCTGAGGAAGCCTAACCTGTACGATCTGGTTGTAGACGGACTGTTGGAGGAGTAGAAGACCTCGGTGTTGTACAGAGAGCGGTCAGTGGCCGGAGACGGAGGAGGATTCAGGATCTGCAGCAGAAAACAGTGGTTGGTCACTGAGGTTCTAGCTGTAGGATCAGGGTGTGTTCTGCTGCCGGTACCTTTGGGTAGAAGGCTCCTTTGGTAGATGAAGAGCTGCTGGATGAAGCTCCGGTCACGTGGTTCCTGTCATAGAGAGGAGCTCCACTGCTGCTGCTGCCCATCAAGCTGACTGAGCTCATGGTGGACTTTCCACAGGAGATCCCTGCAGACAGAACCCATTGATCAGCACCCCAACAGAACACAGACCTCATGGACTCACAGCTCGGCTGCTAACAAACAGACCCCACCTTGGTAGGTACCATGCTGAGAGCTGCTGGGGGTGATGAAGTTCAGGGGGACATGCGGCGTCCCGCTGATGTATTCATGAGGAAAGGTCCCGTTGGGACCCTTGTAACGCCGACACACCACGCGCTGACAGACAAAACAGGCTCCGCCCATCACAAACATCAGCAGGATAATGGCGATGACTGGACCAATGGGGTTGGTGGTTTCATTACTCGGAAGGAAGCTTGAGGATGGAGAAATATAATCTACGCAAAAGAAGAGGAGCAGATCCAGTGACTGACATGCTGAGAGGAAGTCCACCAGAAAAAAACTGCTGCTGAGTGTTTACCGCAGGCCAGCTCATCCGATCCATCCAGGCAGTCGGAGTAGTTGTCACACTGCTGCTTCTTGGTGATGCAGTGGTTGTCCCCACAGCGGAACTGGGTGGGAGCGCAGACGGCTGGAAGACAGGGGGAGAGGTGGACCGGTGAGATACTGCACAAGGTGTTTCATTAAATCAGGATTAAAATAAACCAGGTCTACAACTCTGCACATTAGATTAGCTCATCATAACCTGAATCCAGGGGAGAGATTTACCATTAGGCAATACTATGCAGTGGCTTAGGGCCCCAAGTTCCTGGGGGCCCCATAAAACTCTGTTTCCATGTATGGTTAATACAACTATTCCTTATTTGTTTACATTAATGATGTTTTTGATAAAAATCCTTTGGTTAAAATGCCATCAGAACGCTGATAATACTAAGAGTGTCTCAGCCCCCCCCTTCAGTGTCCACCATATTGGATCAGTTCATTTGCTGCACATGTTCAGAAAGGTCCAAACAGACAGCAGCAAACCATTTGAAAACAAACCATGCAAAGAGCAGTGTTGCCAACTTAGCGCTTTAGTCGCTATATTTAGCCACTTTTCAGACCCCTCTAGCACTTTGATTTCTAAAAAGCTCCTAGCGCCAAATGTAGCGACTTTTTTCTGCTACTGGAGACTTTGGAGACAACATCTAAAAGCAGCGAACTCTGCTCTCCAGAGCAAGTAGATTGGTAACCCCGCCTCCTGCTCTCCTCTATCTTGTCTGCTGTCATAATTCATGCAGCTATTATTTCATCCAAATGAAAAATGGAGAACAGAGAAGCAGATCATGGCTTGTCTACAGTGAAAAGAAGGACTGGGTTATTTACTTTGGCCTTTTTAGAAACACAGGAAGGAGCAATCAGCTAAGTGAGCTTAGTGCTTGGAAAAAATCTTTTATTCCTTTAGAGACAGCATGAAAAGTCAGCTGAGTACAAAACATAGAGAGGAAAACAAGAAGAGAGGGACAAAACCTAGAACAGATAATGGATGTCTATTCTATTAACATTTCTCTATAATGGGTCTGTTCTATGTGTTGTCTTCTCAGTTCAGAGGGCCCCCTGCCTGTCTTTGTGTGGGGGCCCATATTTCCTAAATCCGTCCCTGTCACTAATATACAATCGTGGATTGTCGCCACACCAACGACGTGTCATTTGATTTGACTGTACTGGTTTTGTGCCATTATGAGGTTCCCTAAATCATCAAGCATCAACAGGGAAACACAGCTGAAGGCTGCTTAACCTCAGATTCCACGCCCTCCGTCTCCGCCCCCCTCACGTATGTCGTGCTTGTTTGTCATGTTAACCAATGAGAGCTTGTCCACATCCACCGCTACTCCTCCGCACGTCATCGTAAACGTACGTCTTCTCCTTCCTTCACCGTCAAAATACGGAGCTGAGCTATTTTTTAACTCCGCTCCAGCCAGGTCAAGATCCGCAATTCCAATCACACCAAACAGGAAAAAGGACGTTAAGAAGATCCGGTTTGTTAAATAAAAATATGGTAACGATAGATTGGTAAATACAGATTAGAGCATAATTCTTACATATTCCCAAAACCTAAGAACGTTAAATTAAATTATTGGATGCAGACTATTGGTAGAAGCAGATTTGTCATCGCAATCAAAATATTTATTTTATACCAAGAGGCTTAAAAGTTTAACCAAATGCAGTCTAAACAAACTTCTAATCTCAGGCCTGGATGAAGAGATACTGAGTTTAGAAGCAGAGAACAGAGTTCATCCAAACCATGGATGATCCTAGTTATCAATCAAAAAAGAAAATATTTGGGCAGAAACTGAACCTCTGCTGGATGCTGATGGGATTTTATTAATATGTCACATTAAATTAAGCATTTTATTACCGCATGTTTTGCTCCTACGGTTTAATAATAATATCTATGCTCTCCTGGAGCTCCAGGGATTTCGGAGCAAAGCAGGATGGAAGGAACAGTGAAGCGGAGCGGGGCGGATACGGAGGATGTGGGATTTGGTGGTGAGGAGAAGAAGCGGGCGGAGCAGCCATATTGTCTTTAGGGGGAATTATCCTGGATATCTGATTGGCTGCAAGCCTTCGCATGCATCTTTTAGTTCGAGGACTTTGTTTAGAAGCAAAAACTAAATTATTTTCATTGGTGCAGCACTCAAAGGATGAACTTTAACACAAAGCAATGAATACAGTAATTATGATGTTCTATTATGTATTTTTTAACTAAAATGATTAACATGCAGTCATGGAGAAAGGATTAAATCACAGATGTTGTTTTCTTCATTTTTAACCCTTTATAGGGCGCTCGGTGAAATACTTTGAAAATCAACATTTCCAGCCAATAGTGTTATTGGAATCCAGGCAAAGACCTTATTAGCTTTGGAACATTCTAGAAATATGGATATTCTGATGGCAAAAATGAATGTCAATGTAATAACAAGAAATGCCAATTTGCCAGAATATATTAGGAAAAATAATGAAAGTTTTTCTATAAGAAATTCATGAAAAACCCAGATTTTTTTAGTCCAACATAACCTTAGAGGCATTAATGCTGATACTGGAACTGACATTTTTTAGTTTATAAACCTAAATATAATTGTTAACGAGGCTTATTAACTTTTTGAACGTTTCAATTAGTTTTTACCTTTTTTTTCTTGCCCTACATTTTTTTTCCAGCTTAATTTCCAGTAGATAATGTATCATTCAAGGGCTCATCTAATTGGCCAAATGCCAGAATAAGATGTGCAGCCATGTAGCAGGATCTATGCTGAATGGCTGGATATAGATCATTTATAAGGTTGATGCAAGGAATCAAACGGTGAAAAACTTAAACTAGAAAACTGGTTCATTTCCCTTTTGGTTGTATTTCTCTCTACCTCCCTCTGATTAGCTGCTCTGGTCTGCATCCTGCCTCCTATATATTCCCTCTAATCTCTCTGTTCCTTATCTTCCATATTGTCCTGATCCTCCTCGTCTCACTCTCATAGTAAATCTTTTTTTTCCACGCCGGTTCGGTGGTTCTAGTTCTGAGACTCTGCTCCACCGTTTGGGTTCAGACTGAGTGAAAAAGATGGAGTGCAGCGTCTGCAGTTCATCACGTACTGTTGCATTCATGCTCATCAGACTTATCGGGGCAGTCCGGTTCCCCGTCGCACCGCTTCTGAATGTCGATGCAGCTTCCTTCGTCACACTGGAACTGGAGGGAGGAGCAGATGGGACAGTTTTCTTCATCGCTGCCATCTTCACACTCTGGGAAATGGTCACAACGCCACGCCATGGGTATACAGCCGATTTCTCCAGTGGAGCATGTGAACTGCTCTGTGGAGCAGGTGGGAGGCTCTGAGGGAGACGAAGCAGTGGGTTACAGGAAACAGCAGGAGGAGAGAAAGGCAGCACTTCCTGCTGGTTGCTGGTGGTTTACCTCCGCAGTGCAGCAGGTCCTGGAGTAAGACCAGATGCATGGGACAGGAGCAGCTGGATGTCCCATCACCCTTTGCAATGCAGATGTGAGAACAGCCTCCATTGTCCCGGGAACAGGGATGGGAAGCTGGATGCAGAAACAAAAAGCATGTGAACCATCAGAGCCAGTTTGGTACGGTGTCCCTGATGAACCAATCAGAGAGACACATCTCTACCAAAGTCCTGCGGGTCCATCTCCTCTGCTGCATGGATGGATGTCAGGTATGATATCCGTCCCTGGATGCGTGTGCGGCCCTCTCCTGTCAGTTTATCCACCCGTTCGATCATCTGTTGCTGCCGGTCGATCCAGTACAGATGGTCTCCTAGAACCGTCAGGCCCATCGGCAGCAGAATGTTGGAATCCTGCAGAACAATACGATTGGCCCCTGGAGAAGAGAGGAAAAATGTTAACCCTAAACATCACAGCAAGGTTGAAACATCGCAGCAAAGCTGAAACATCACAGCAAAGCGGAAACATCGCAGCAAAGCTGAAACATCGCAGCAAAGCTGAAACATCGCAGCAAAGTGGAAACATCGCAGCAAAGCGGAAACATCGCAGCAAAGCTGAAACATCGCAGCAAAGCTGAAACATCGCAGCAAAGCTGAAACATCACAGCAAAGCGGAAACATCGCAGCAAAGCTGAAACATCACAGCAAAGCTGAAACATCGCAGCAAAGCTGAAACATCGCAGCAAAGCTGAAACATCACAGCAAAGCGGAAACATCGCAGCAAAGCTGAAACATCGCAGCAAAGCTGAAACATCGCAGCAAAGTGGAAACATCGCAGCAAAGCGGAAACATCGCAGCAAAGCTGAAACATCGCAGCAAAGCTGAAACATCGCAGCAAAGCTGAAACATCACAGCAAAGCGGAAACATCGCAGCAAAGCTGAAACATCACAGCAAAGCGGAAACATCGCAGCAAAGCGGAAACATCGCAGCAAAGCTGAAACATCGCAGCAAAGCGGAAACATCGCAGCAAAGCGGAAACATCGCAGCAAAGCGGAAACATCGCAGCAAAGCTGAAACATCGCAGCAAAGCTGAAACATCGCAGCAAAGCGGAAACATCGCAGCAAAGCGGAAACATCACAGCAAAGCTGAAACATCGCAGCAAAGCGGAAACATCGCAGCAAAGCTGAAACATCGCAGCAAAGCGGAAACATCGCAGCAAAGCTGAAACATCACAGCAAAGCTGAAACATCGCAGCAAAGCTGAAACATCGCAGCAAAGCTGAAACGTCGCAGCAACAGCTGATATTAACAACAAAGACTTTTGGATGAGCACAGGGAAACAAAATAAATAAAAAATAAATGAGGAAAACCAGCTCTAAAAAAGCCTGCTTCTAATCTCTACTTGTCCCCACAGAAACACAAATGTTCTGGAGACATGGCCCATAATCCCAGGTTCTACACTGGCTGGGTCCATAATCCCGGGTTCTACACCGGCAGGGTCCGTAATCCAAGGTTCTACACCGGCTGGGTCCATAATCCCGGGTTCTACACCGACTGGGTCCATAATCCCGGGTTCTACACCGACTGGGTCCATAATCCCGGGTTCTACACCGACTGGGTCCATAATCCCAGGTTCTACACGGGCTGGGTCCATAATCCCAGGTTTTAAACCGGCTGGGTCCATAATCCCGGGTTCTACACCGGCTGGGTCCATAATCTCAGGTTCTACACGGGCTGGGTCCATAATCTCAGGTTCTATACGGGCTGGGTCCATAATCCCAGGTTTTAAACCGGCTGGGTCCATAATCCCGGGTTCTACACCGGCTGGGTCCATAATCTCAGGTTCTACACGGGCTGGGTCCATAATCCCAGGTTTTAAACCGGCTGGGTCCATAATCCCAGGTTCTACACCGGCAGGGTCTATAATCCCGGGTTCTACACCGGCTGGGTCCGTAATCCCAGGTTCTACACCGGCTGGGTCCAAAATCCCAGGTTCTACACCGGCTGGGTCCGTAATCCCGGGTTCTACACTGGCTGGGTCCATAATCCCGGGTTCTACACCGGATGGGTCCGTAATCCCAGGTTCTACACCGGCTGGGTCCATAATCCCGGGTTCTACACCGGCTGGGTCTATAATCCCGGGTTCTACACCGGCTGGGTCCGTAATCCCAGGTTCTACACCGGCTGGGTCCAAAAGCCCAGGTTCTACACCGGCTGGGTCCGTAATCCCGGGTTCTACACTGGCTGGGTCCATAATCCTGGGTTCTACACCGGATGGGTCCGTAATCCCAGGTTCTACACCGGCTGGGTCCATAATCCCGGGTTCTACACCGGCTGGGTCCGTAATCCCAGGTTCTACACCGGCTGGGTCCACAAATAATGGCGTATTAGCAGCGTTTTGGTATAAAGGGGGTTCACAGGAGGAAACCATCAGTTCTCCTCCAGACTTCATCCCCATCATAGGGTGAGCCAGAAGGTGAGGGTGATGGATCCTCCCTGCGTTCACGCCCACCACCAACAAACTTCCTAGCAGACATGACGCTCAATCTGCTGACACCAAAAACCTGCTTTCTTTCTTTTTCTTTTTTTGGGCGGGCGGTAAACAGCAGCTAGGTTAATACCGCAATCAAAGAAATCTTTTTCTGCAGGGCGGGCGCCTCTGGACACTTGCTTGTGCATCATTTCCTGGGCATTACATTGCGTTATGCAGAAGTTAGGCTGTCGTTGGATAGAAGTTCTGGACTCGTTATGAATACTCGATGTATACGCCCAGAATAGAAAAAATACATAGAAAGGTCAGCCTATGCCAGCGTTTAGGAGATCCTGGGACGTTAGGCAGATGCCGGACAAATCAGCAAGGTGTGAAAGGAGCCTAAAGAAACACGTTCAGCGCTCGTCTGAAACACGTCAGATACGTTGATATGCATTGGAGAGAAGTTCTTGATAAGTTATGCACAAGTTACTCAGAGGTTTAGGATAAGCTAGACGCCAAAACTGATGAGGAACTGACACTGAACGATGTCAACCATCAGATAACTGACCTGGAACTGACAGCCCACGGATGGCAGACGCTGGAATACGCACTTTCTGTATATCTACATGTTCCAGCGGATTTCAGCGTACTTCAGCATGTTCATAACTTAAACAACGTATGCCAGTGTTTCTGCCAGATTTTGCGTACGTCAGGCATACCCAGGTCTATATCGTCAAGGTGTGACAGGAGCTTTAAGTTTTTTAAGGCAAAACAGACAAGTTTTTCCAAAGAATGGTAGAAATAAACAGTTAGGCAGGAGCTGGAGGATCTTTGATGGTAACAAAACCAGCTCAGTGCTTAGAAAATAGGACATCTTTAACCCTGATTGTTTTCGTTTCTCAGAAAGTCAGACACCTGCCGCTTTCAGAGTTTAGAGCCTTGGAGTTTCCACGCGTTGAGGTGCGTTTAAGGCTGAGCGGGCTCAGGAGCTAAGGAGAACTCACCCGTCAGGTCGCTGCTCTCGATGCGCTTCAGGTCAGCGTCAACCCAGAACAGCTTCCCCAGCTTGTTGTCCAGAGCCAGAGCTACAGGCCTGATGAGGCCGGTGGAGAACAGGGACTCCCTCTCAGTCCCGTCCAGACTGGCTGCTTCGATCTTGGCAGAGTGCTCCTGCACTGTGGTGAAGTACATGCACCTGTGGAGAGGAGATGGACCTTTAAACTCCTGCACGTGTCCGTCCCTCTGTCCGCCGCCACCATAGTTACCCTTTCTCTGCGTTGACCACGATGGCTCTGGGCTTGTCCGTGTCGTCCTTGAGGACCACGCCCACCATGCGGCCGTCCATCTTCTGAACGTTGATGGTGTTGGTGGTCTCACAGGTCCAGTAGATGTGGCGGCTGTAGGGATCGAGGCTCAGGTCGTGGAGCTGGTTGTCCACCTGTTGAGCAGGGCTGCTTGCCACGATGGAAGCCTGGAGAGCACCACAGAGGGCAAAGGTCAACATCTGCAGCGGCAGGAGCTGTTCTCCTTCTGCCGGCAGCGTTACCATGCTTCCATCGTCTCTGGCCCTTCGTATGTTCTGCCGTCCATCCACCCAATAGACCAGCCGCTCCAGCGGGTCGTAGCTGACGGCTCGGACGTTCTTCGTGACGTGGATCGGAAGGATTATGTCAGGACTCTGATCTCCTAACACCATCCTGCTGATGCTGGCCCTCTGACTGAAGAGCAGGAAACTTAGAGGAGCTGCAGAGAGACGGGAAGAGCAGGAGGTCATGAGACGACCAGCGGGTCACCAGCTAGCCTTCCACACGCTAACAGAGGAGAACGGGTTAAACGACACCATCTAAGTACAACTGGAAGGAGCACAGATGTTCAGCTTTCATGAAATAGATCTGTACCTCTATAAAGTCAGACAAAAGCTTAGAAAGCTTATCCCACTTATTTTATCAAGCAGAACAAAAACAGACTTTTAATTTATTGAACTTTTCCTTGCAGCACAAGTCATTTTATCTGCTTTTTGTCATTTTTTTGCTCCATATTTTAAAACCTGCAGTAACCTGCATACTAGCAGGGTTAAAAACTTTAAAAACATGTAATATATTTGGCATTTGGTCGTTCCAGACTAAGTCACAGGATCTGCTAAACTGTGACAGAAAGCAGCTTTCTGGTCAAAGCGCTGCCGCTGTTTGATCAACATGAAGCCAGATTCCATGTTTTTAATGTCTTTAAAAGGGTTAGAAACCACATAGTTTAAATATTTAGAATGAAAGAAAAGTTTCATCAATGTTTAAATGCTTTTCTTTCTTATTTAGACCTTTTGGGAATGCTTCATGTTTTTGCTGCCTCTAAAGCCGGGTTTATACTTGCCAGAGGGCGTGAGGGGGCCAAAAGGGACGCAATCTTCACCTAGTCAAGATTGCGTCATGAACCTCTGAATATTTGTAACTTGGCACCGATCACGCTGCAAGCCTTGTTCCCAGTGGGAGGATATAAAATCAAATGGTTCTGAAGGTTCGGGTGGATCAGAGGGAAGCTCGTCTGCCTGGCTGTGTGTTTCCTGGACGGGGCCGCCTGTGGAGCTGGTTGACAGTTGCCTTTTGTATCTATGCTTCTTTTTCTATGTCTGCTTCTGTATCCTCGAACCCCTGTCAGCCTCAGCAGATGGCCGCTCACACTGAGCTGGAGATTTCTTCCTGTTCAAAGGAAGTTTTTCCTCTCCACTGTCGCTACAAGCATGCTTAGTGTGAGGGATTGCTGAAGAATCAATGAGTCGATGCAATCAGCTGGTTTTCCTTAGATAGAAAACATTGAATCAATCTGACTGGATGATCTGGTTAAATTGTCTGTATAAAGTGACCTGAGATAACATGATATGAATTGGCGTTATAGAAATAAACTGAATTGAAAATAAAGTAGATGATTATTTTAATAATCAATTAATGCAATTAATTGTTTCAGCTTTAGGCAGGGCTGCAATAAAATGATGTCAAAGACACATAGACGGCTCTATAACACAGTTTATACAGATTATTGGCAAAACAAGGTGGATCTGGAAGTAATTTATCCTTTAAAACCATTTAACATCATTTCAGCCGAGCAGCCTAACTTTCAGATGTTCTCCTCTCCAGTCAACATTTTCATTAATTAACAATTTTAGCCAAAAAAAGAGAGATCTGGACAGAAATGTTGGGCTGCTATTATTCTGCACACAACTTGCTGCTAGAGATGAATGAACAATCTGTGAAAATAGTTATTTTTACAAGAAATGAATGAATTTTAAATTTCCTGAATTCAACTATTTGTGTTTTTTTCACATTTGGATGAAGTGAGTGAGTTTTAGCCAGGCGTCTGGAAGGTCCACACAGAAGAAAGACAAACGGCAAACTTAAATGATTTGATTTGGTGTATTTAACCTTTTACAGATTAGTTGAATACATGCCTCTTACAAAACAACATAGATGCAGTTTGTCAGAAAAGAAAATCATGTGAGGCTGATATCATCATACCTGCATCTGCAGCTTTATGGTTTATGGGACGTGTTGGGCAGCAGCGCCCCCTAATGCCTCAAAAATCGACATTTTTCTTGATTTCAGCAGGTAAATGAGACAGATTTACCACTGGAATAAGATGATTTACGCTTAAAATAAGAAAAAAAACTTTTTTTTAAGTGCATAATATCTATTCATCCTCCTACGACGGAGCATTAGGGCCAGGCTAGAGATTTTTTTTCTTCTACTTGGAGAATAAAGTCGTAAAATTACCAGAATAAAGTCATAATATTATATGAAAAAAGTCAGAACTAGAATAGTCCTAAAATTAAGAGAAACAAGTTTTATTTTATGACAACTCTTCCCAGAAGCTCTTTCTTCCCTAAAATGAGGAATGTGGAGCATCATGTGAAGTTATACTTTATAATCTTTATTCTCAAAATGAAAACATAAAAAAAAATGGCCCCAATACTCAGTCGCCTTTTTTCTGCCTTTCTGATCTTTAAGTTGATCACTGCCCCTCTGTGGTTTTAGCGGGTACTGCACCTTCATTCGCTTCTATGGGCTCATGCGCGGTGCACACAGACCGCCGCAACAAGCCAATGCCTTAGTATGTTTCAGACTTAAGAGCTCATATGACTCCAGCTGCCACTGTGGGGGTCTGTACTCACAGCTGCAGTTTCTCCCATCGGCGTTTAGGGTGTAGTGGAAGGCGCAGCGGCACTGGGCGCCGGCAGGAGTGGCCAGGCAGAGGTGGGCACAGTTGCCGTTGTTCTGGGAGCAGTCGTTGGAACCATCCTGACGGGACGAGTGGAATACCAGGATGTCCAGCATGAGCTCCAGCTGACCCTGAGGAAACACAGTGGCTGTTAGGTCAGCATCTGACGGCTCGTAGAGCGCCACCTGCAGCCGCTTCAGTACCTGCAGCACAACGGTGCGGTTCTGGCCACTGCGCTTGTCGGCCTGCTCGATACTGCGCTGGTTAAAGTCGGTCCAGTAGATGAAGTCCCTGTACTGGGTGAGTCCAAAGGGGCGAGGAAGGTCGTCTATGATGATCTCCCTCTGGAGGCCTGGAGGAGAAACCAGAAATCAGAACAGCTGTTCAAAGTTCTGCATCCTCTCCTCTGGATCCATCTGTGGAAGCTGGATCTGTTCCTCACACAGCAGGAGGACGCCGTGCCTACTTCATGCTTTCAGAAAGGTTCCTTCTTCCTGACTTCTTGTCATCGGTAAAAAACCAACCTTGCATGTTGGTGCTCTCGATCATGTAGGTATCCAGATCGGTCCAGTAGAGCCGATGGTCCAGGTAGTCGATGGTCAGTCCGTTGGCTCGGCCCACTTTATCCACCAGGGTGGTGATGGTGCTGCCGTCCATATAGGCTCTGGCTATGCGGGGACGGCCCCCCCACTCCGTCCAGTACATGTAGCTGTGGAGAGAGCAGCAGCTGTGATAAACATCCCACATCCAATCCTCCCATCATGTTTTATTGAATGATAAGAACTGAACTGATGCATTTGTTTAAAAAAATATCAGCGTATTCATGCATGTATAACCCCAATGCAAACCATGGATCTGGTCAGCTGGTCTCTCAATGCAATTAATCAATTGATCCAAAGACGGATAACGAGACCCGTCCTGTCCTACAAGGACATATTTCATGGGAAAGACCATGGTCTCCTGGAAGGCTTGGAGGATGGTGTGTTTTACAGTTTGTTAGTGGAGGATATCATAGATTTCTGGATTTTCGGATTTATCATACTCTTTTCTTAAATTTGGATTTGGAGGATACCTGATGTATCTACAATTACGGAGGATGTCGGCGGCAATTTGGGAATTGATCAGGCAGAGAATGAGCAAGATTGAGAGCTGAGCCATATGCTGGGTGGGTTGAAGTCAAAGGTAAGATGGGATAATATCTTGGATGTGCACGCTCGCTTCAAGGTGGAAAAGCTAAACAAATTTGGAATATTGGATTCACCACGTAGAGCCAGCAAAGACTCAAGGTTGACGGAAAATACCTGTGCAACCTGCTCTCAAAACAATAAGTGTTGTTTTGGATTCGGCCTCCCCCTTATCAACACTTAAGAGCTCCTATGACTGCCCTGGATGTTATGGCAGAAGGGAGCAGAATTTCCACCCCCACTCCCCTACCCGCAAACACCGGTGGTGTTCAGAACTGTAGTGCTGGGGCCCCTGGTAGCCATAAGAACACGCCAAAGGCAGCATTCTGTGGCACGCATGGTCAGTAAATGATGTGAGGAAGGAGGAATGAAGGAAAGATGTAAGGAGATGAGAATATCAGAGAAAGGACAAAAAAGAAGGCAGCTGGAAAAATAAGGATGGAGGAGGAGGAGGAGGAAGCAGTGCGACGCGTTTCAAGAGGATTATTGTGAGTCTTATTCGCCTCCAAGCTTCTGATTCTCACTGAGCCTAATTTGGTCAGAACTTCCATCTGTAACTGGTTTCCACACTGATCTAATGGGACCAGTGTTGTCAGGAACTGGGATCAAACACGCGGCGCTGTCCTACCCGTGGGCCGGATCCAGTGCCAGAGATCGAGGGTTATCCAGCAGGCGGGGGTTGTCCAGATCCTTACAGACCAGAACCTGTCGGTGCTGGCCATCTAGCCGCGCCACCTCGATGCGGTTGGTTCCGGTGTCGGCCCAGTAGATGTTCCGGCCCATCCAGTCGATGGCCATTCCTTCAGGGTAGTCCAGTCCGAACTCAATGACGTGCTCCACGGAGCTGCCGTTCATGTACGCCCTGCTGATGGTCTGAAGGACAGATGGGAGGTAAGGGTGAGAAAGGTGCGGCTTCCTGTCTGTGTCAAACAGAACTGGTTCTGGAACCGCCGGGCCTACCTTGGCCTGAACGTCTGTCCAATAGATTCTCCTTTCAGAAACATCGAAGTCCAGAGCGGATGCTTCTTTGACTCCTGTCAGAGGGATGGCCACGTCATTGCTGTTCGTCCCCAATGAGATGCTCCTGATGCTGTCCCTGAGGAGAACAAGGCATGCAGACAGGTCCATTTAGAAACAGCCACCGCTACTGAGGTACTGCTAACAAACCAGCGCTAACTATTCACAACTAACCATCCAATGCTACTGAGGTACTGCTAACCATCCGCTGCTAACCATCCACTGTTAACCATCCACTGCTAACCTTCCACTGCTAACCATCCACTGCTAACCATCCACTGTTAACCATCCACTGTTAACCATCCACTGCTAACCATCCACTGTTAACCATCCACTGTTAACCATCTACTGCTAACCATCCACTACTAACCTGCTAATGAGCCACTGATAACCACCCACTACTAACCTGATAATGAGCCACTGATAACCACCCACTACTAACCTGCTAATGAGCCCTTGCTAATCCTCCACTGCTAACCATACACTGCTAACCAGCCACTACTAACCATCCGCTGCTAACCATCCGCCGCTAACCATCTGCTGCTAACCATTCGCTGCCAACCATCCGCTGCCAACCATCCGCTGTTAACCATCCGCTGTTAACCATCTGCTGCTAACCATCCACTACTAACCTGCCAATGAGCCATTGCTAATCCTCCACTGCTAACCATCCACTGCTAACCAGGCAGTGCTACCATCCACTGTTAACCATCCGCAGCTAATCGTCTACAGCTAACCATCTACTGCTAACCATCTACCTCTAACCATCTGCTGCTAATCATCGTCTGCTAACAATCTACTGCTAACCATCTGCTGCTAATCATCGTCTGCTAACAATCTACTGCTAACCATCTGCTGCTTACCGTCCACTGCTAACATCTAATGCTAACCATCCACAGCTAACCATCGTCTGCTAACCATCCACTGCTAACCACCCGCTACTAACCATCTACTGCTAACATCTACTGCTAACCATTGTCTGCTAACCATTGTCTGCTAACCATCTGCTGCTTACCGTCCACTGTTAACTATCTTCTGCTAACTATCTGCAGCTAACCATCTACTGCTACTATCCACTGCTAACCATCGTCTGCTAACCATCTACTGCTAACCATCGTCTGCTAACCATCTACTGCTAACCATCCGCTGCTAATCATCGTCTGCTAACAATCTACTGCTAACCATCTGCTGCTTACCGTCCACTGCTAACATCTAATGCTAACCATCCACTGCTAACCATCGTCTGCTAACCATCCACTGCTAACCACCCGCTACTAACCATCTACTGCTAACATCTACTGCTAACCATTGTCTGCTAACTATCTGCAGCTAACCATCTACTGCTACCATCCACTGCTAACCATCGTCTGCTAACCATCTACTGCTAACCATCCACTGCTAACCATCGTCTGCTAACCATCTACTGCTAACCATCCGCTGCTAACCATCGTCTGCTTACCATCCGCTGCTTACCGTCCACTGCTAACACTTACTACTAACCATCCACTGCTAACCATTGTTTGCTTACCATCCACTGCTAACCAACCGCTGCTAACCATCTACTGCTAACCATCTACTGCTAACCATTGTCTGCTAACCATCGTCTGCTAACCATCCACTGCTAACCACCCACTGCTAACCATCTACTGCTAACAATCTACCTCTAACGATCTGCTGCTAATCATCGTCTGCTAACCATCTACTGCTAACCATCTGCTGCTTACCGTCCACTGCTAACATCTAATGCTAACCATCCACTGCTAACCATCCGCTGCTAACCACCCACTGCTAACCACCCGCTACTAACCATCTACTGCTAACATCTACTGCTAACCATTGTCTGCTAACCATCTGCTGCTTACCGTCCACTGTTAACTATCTTCTGCTTACTATCTGCAGCTAACCATCTACTGCTACCATCCACTGCTAACCATCGTCTGCTAACCATCGTCTGCTAACCATCCACTGCTAACCATCGTCTGCTAACCATACGCCGCTAACCATCCGCTGCCAACCATCCGCTGCCAACCATCCGCTGTTAACCATCCGCTGTTAACCATCTGCTGCTAACCATCCACTTCTAACCTGCCAATGAGCCATTGCTAATCCTCCACTGCTAACCATCCACTGCTAACCAGGCAGTGTTAACATCCACTGTTAACCATCCGCTGCTAACCGTCTACAGCTAACCATCGTCTGCTAACCATCCGCTGCTAACCATTCGCTGCCAACCATTTGCTGTTAACCATCCGCTGTTAACCACCCGCTACTAACCATCTACTGCTAACCATCCACTGCTAACTGCTCGCTACTAACCATCTACTGCTAACATCTACTGATAACCATTGTCTGCTAACCATTGTCTGCTAACCATCTGCTGCTTACCGTCCACTGTTAACTATCTTCTGCTAACTATCTGCAGCTAACCATCTACTGCTACCATCCACTGCTAACTATCGTCTGCTAACCATCTACTGCTAACCATCCACTGCTAACCATCGTCTGCTAACCATCTACTGCTAACAATCTGCTGCTAACCATCATCTGCTTACCATCTGCTGCTTACCGTCCACTGCTAACACTTACTACTAACCATCCACTGCTAACCATTGTTTGCTTACCATCCACTGCTAACCATCCGCTGCTAACCATCCGCTGCTAACCATCCGCTGCTAACCATCTACTGCTAACCATTGTCTGCTAACCATCCACTGCTAACCACCCACTGCTAACCATCTACTGCTAACATCTACTGCTAACAATCTACCTCTAACGGTCTGCTGCTAATCATCGTCTGCTAACCATCTACTGCTAACCATCTGCTGCTTACCGTCCACTGCTAACATCTAATGCTAACCATCCACTGCTAACCATCCGCTGCTAACCATCCGCTGCTAACCACCCACTGCTAACCACCCGCTACTGACCATCTACTGCTAACATCTACTGCTAACCATTGTCTGCTAACCATCTGCTGCTTACCGTCCACTGTTAACTATCTTCTGCTAACTATCTGCAGCTAACCATCTACTGCTACCATTCACTGCTAACCATCGTCTGCTAACCATCGTCTGCTAACCATCTACTGCTAACCATCCACTGCTAACCATCGTCTGCTAACCATCTGCTGCTTACCATCCACTGCTAACTTGCTATTGAGGCACTGCTAATCATCCACTGCTGCTAAGCATCCGCTACTAACCATTCGGTGCTAACTGTCCGCTGGTCTTGTTCTGGGTCAGTCCTGGTCTGGCTCGATCCTTTAGTCGTTTTTGCCTTAGTGAAACCTTAGTATAGAAGTTCCAGGTTTAGTCCTCTAATACCTTCCACTGTGCTGCACACTTCTGGTCAGCTGGCTGATCAACCAACAATGTTTCCCTAATTTAAAACATTTTAGCTGTCTGGAAATACAGACTGTGCGTAAAAACATACTAGCAGCTTTTAAGGTTCCGTTCCAAGCTGTTTAAATCATAAAGTAGTGCAGGGCGTCTGGCAGGAAGAGGTGGATACAGGTCCTTTACTGATCCACATTCCTGCCAAGCATTACAGCGATCAGTGCTGCTGATTGGCTGAAATGTCCTCCTGATCGTCTCGTTCATCAACGGCTGATCGTCATACCTGTTGGTGAAGAGCAGGAAGGCTTCAGGAACCACGCAGGTCCGGAGGTCTGAGAGGAGCTCCAGGCCCATGGGGCAGGCGCAACGGACCGCCCCTTGGCACCAGAAGCACAGGTGGCTGCAGCCTCCGTTCTCCTCTGCACAGCCGTTCGTCCCTGGAAACACACACATCCTTCTGACTCCGCCCAGTCTTCTCATCCCCTGCCCTAAAATCGGCAGCCCTTACCGAAGGTCTCTGTGACTTTGGTGGCCTTTAAGCCCATTAGATCTGGCAGCTGATCAACGATGATCTCCCGTACCGCCGTGGCTTTGTGGACCCTCTCGATGCTGCGGCTCTGCCAGTCGGTCCAATAGATGTACTCGCCCAGCAGAGTAAAACCAAAGATGTGGGGCAGCTTGTCCTCCAGCAGAGTCTGCCTGTTGCTGCCGTCCACGTTGATCACCTGAGACAGACAGAGAGAGACGGTGAAGCCGCTGCAGGAGAACGAGCCCCGACCGCGGCTCCAGGAGCTCTACACAGATAGCTGGAACCTGGGATTTAGACACACCAGCAGGGGGTGCACCGTCCCTGCAACTGGGGAGCTGGGAGAACACAGCAAGTCACACAGAGATCATCATAGTTCCTGGGTGACATTAACATCAGACGTCAGCAGCAGGCCTGGATCTCTTTATTTTATACTTTATATAATCTTTGTTTCTTTTCTATTTTAGACCTAAAAATTCATCAGACTGAAAATCAGAGGCTCTGTTCCTATGGAAACAGCACATTTAAAGATTATCGCATCCCAGGGAAATAACTACAGGAAAAATAGGAGTGATTGTTTAAAAATAATTTAATAAAGATGAAAAAAGGTAAAGTCTTGGTGGTGTCATGGTTTTGGTTCTGTTCAAGTTTTATCTCTGTGTTTTGTCTAATTTTCATTTTGTTTTCTAGTTATTTTTGATTATATTTTAGTTCTTAGATATTTCTTGTTTGGCCTCTGCTGCCCTCTTGTGTCAGTCTCCTTTCCCTAGCTCCCTTCTAGATGCCTCTGTTCACACCTGCTCCCAACCTGCTAATTAGCCTGGCCTTTGTTTCTCTCACCCATTTATTCTCCTCCTGTTCAGTCACTCTTTGCTGGTTTGTCGTCGTTTCTTTGCCTCCTTGCTGTGAGCAATCCTGGTTCTCACTTTTTGTGGATTTTGTAAATTTATGTTTTTGCTTCTGTTGAACCCTTTTGGATAATAAATCTTTAAGTAACCTCTTTCAGCTTCAGTCTGCATTTGGGTTCACCTGTCAAACCGCCACCCTAATGTGACAGGTGGACCATTACATTATTAATATTACAATCCATAACAACACATTGAGGCTGATATGTAATTTCAAAGCATAAGAAGTAAAAAAAAATAAAGAATTGTAGAATTAAAGAGTGGAAAAAGAAACCAGGGAGATTTTTGTCAAAAGGAAAGTCATTAAATATAATCTGTTTTCAGGATATAATGTGAGAAAGTGCTTGTTTATCAGGTATGGATAAGGTGAATTGATTTTATGGATTTGTTTCTAATCCAGATCTTTTATATGGAAATGTGACACATTCTGAACTTTAAATCATAACATGTGAAATATGTAATTTGTTTCAAGCTGCTGTAAAAGTTTTACAAACCGTCTCATTACAGTTTTTCTAAAAGTTTTATTTTATTCCTCCTTCCAGCTGTGCTTTATAGAAACAGAAAATCTAGATAGAAAACTGATGAGATCAGTTCACTTCAGCGGGGTCCAAATAAAGAAAATCATCAACCAGTAAAGGTCCGGAGACATTTTTAATTATAATCTGTTACTTTAAACAGAATTTAACGCTGTAATAAAATGAGGTTTTTATGCATCCATGTTATACATTGGCTTTTTAAATAAAAAAAGTACATAAAAAAACAGAGCATTTTTTTCCATTTTAAAATCTAAAGTGTTTTTTGAAGTAGAGAACAGCAATCATTCAGTTTGGTTTATAGACAATTTCCTGATTCCCATATTTTATCAAACACCTGAACTGAGCGTTTGTTATTTTTCAGCTGGTTGTGAGTTTAGAAAATGGGTGAACAGAGGGCAAAGCAATAAGAAAACGCGACGACAAGGAAGGATTGGAAATGCAGTGCAAAAAAGGGAATGAAATAAGGACTCTCTGCAAACAAGGAAATAACACAATTATAACCAAAATTCCTGAATGTGACGAGCGCCGCCATGTTGGTTTGCTTGTTCATTTCTAGAGAGCAATAGTAGCATAGATCGCCCCTAGGGGACGAGGAACCGTGCAGTTTACTGACCTGCCAACACACAGCCATAAACTTACTGATCTCAGGGCAGTGGTGAGCAACAAACAGCTGCGTAAAGATGGATTCCAGTTGCTCAGGTGTGCAGAGAACCGACCTGTGGAGCAATCAGGCTGTACAGAGCGGCTGAAACCTGATGGCAGCCTTCCACTGTGTCTGATCAGAGGAGCGGCTACAGATAGAAACCCCGCCCCTCTAGCGGAGGAAGTAGAAAATGCTCTGATCACGCCTAGTCTCTCCCAGACTTTCCCACATCCAGCCTTCCCTTAATGAGGTCATCAAGTGTTCACGGCCTCCCAGAGCGCCGCTCGCTCCAGGATAAGCTCCAAACCAAAACACGCATGCAAATGGAGTTAATGTTGTGATGGGCAGCTGTGGACTCGGCTTTATGTTTAGTGAATGCTTATTTAAATATCCATTCAGAGGCGATTGGTGAGCAAACCGGAAAAAAAACAACAGTCACTTTGATGGACCTCTGAACCGAAGGGGTTCCTGACCCTTCCACAAAAAAACCATTCATTTCTCTACGGGACTGAATTAGACATGGCCGCCTGAGAGAAAAGGCGAGAGAGGGTCTCCCTTTTCACTTCCTCTCCTCATCTCTAAGTCATTCTTTCTATCTTCTGGCTTCTTCAAGCAGAATTAGGGACTGGCAGAGTAATTTTTTTTACTGATTCAGTTGTGTTAGTGAGAAAGCTGCTTTTTTGATGGAAGCCAGTGAAAAACCCCCACAAAAGGTCTCATCAGAGGGATGATCAGCTTGCATGGAGATCCTCTAATCAAATTTAGAAACTTTGGGGGTGGATGCCCGGGCAGCTACTGGCTTATTCCTGGTGGCTCGGGCCCCTGGGGCCCAGGGTCGGATCCACTTCGGGGTGGCTGGCTGTCGACGGAGCCCTCGGACTCGTCCCCGCATTTCCTGGGGGCTTCGGCATTGCGGTGGCTGGGGGATTTCCTCTGGGCTGTCTCTCCTCCTCCCTTGATGGGGGGGGCGGATTTCCTGGGTTGGCCCCTCCTGGGCGCCTTTGCTCTTGGGTCTGGGGCTTTAGATCCCGCGGTGCTCGCCTTGGTGCTCTGGTGCGGGCGCCTCTTCAGCTCTCCTCAACCACTATTGAGCATTTTTCCTTTGGATAAACTTTACATGCACAATCAACTACAGGTGCTTGGTTCCAGGTACTCAGAGATTCACTTCCATACAGAAAGCCTATATTCTTATCTTTAGCTACCAAGGAATACATGTCAGAATAAATAATACTACTTATACTTCAGCGATACTATCTGGTGTTACTTCATTGTATGTCTCGTACCATGTCTGTTGGTTGTGCTGTTCTTTTTGCATCTCTTTGCAGGTGATGAAGCAGACTGAAGATGTTTTATCGTTATCTCCCTTTTATCTCCTCTTTCTTTCATCTTTTCTCCCTTTTTTCAGTTTTTCCGTTCCTGTTCTACTAACATTGCATTCCGTAAAAATTCAAAAAATCCACTGGACTTGGTTTTCAAGATTTGAAGACGTTTCGCCACCTCTCCAGGAAGCTTTCTCAATTCAAATGTCTGGATCCGCAGTGAGTTTGAGTCTTATATAGACAACGCCTTGTATCGCTTGGAAACATGCAATGGTAACCGATGAATGGGTCGTTAGTTCCCACGTTAGCCTGTAATATCTGAAACTGTCTATGATTCTAGGGGTCGGTCGTTAAAGGGGGGATTGCCATTAAGGGGGGGATTGTCTCCTGTAATACCTGAAACCTGTCTATGATGTTAAGGGTAGGTCGGGCTGGAGCGGGTAGGTCCCTCGTTCCTCTGTGATGGGGTGGGGGGTTTGGTGGTATCTGGAAGGGATCATGTCTATGATTGAATTGTATGTTTTTGGAAGCTGGAATCTGAGTCCACCACCTCTGTTTAAAGTTGTTTTTTGTCTCTTAACATAGATGGCTTCCTTCACGCCCCTCTCAAACCACCTATTTTCTTTATCCAAAATATGGACATTCTGGTCCTCAAAAGAATGTCCTATATAAGACTCAAACTCACTGCGGATCCAGACATTTGAATTGAGAAAGCTTCCTGGAGAGGTGGCGAAACGTCTTCAAATCTTGAAAACCAAGTCCAGTGGACATTTATTGAATTTTTACGGAATGACTATGACCTGGATGACTGAGAACCTTCATCAGCCTACTAACATTGCAGTGTCCATATCATCTGTAAAACTCCCTGCATAATTATAATAAAGCTATTTATATGCATTAATCAAGCGGAACACTATGGCGATAGCCGGACTACTCCACTTGTGAAAGTAAAATCTTTTGGGCTCTTTGGCAACAAGACAATTATGCTTATTGCAACATTATTGTAATTTTTTTTCTTAAAATAAGTGAATTTGTTCTTGGATTGAGGAGGTAATAGAAACATTTTTCCAATAGATCAAGACAATTTAGATTTGAAATACTTACTTATTTCTAGAGTGTTATTCCAGTGAAGAAACACAGTGCAAAAACTATATACAAATAAGTCAACAAGTGTATTTACCCTTAATTTAACTTAAATGTAACTTCCTTAATTCAAGACAAAATGTACTTATTTTAAGAAAAACAGACTTATTTAGATTTACAGTTTTTGTAGTGTGCTGAGAACATTTCACATGTGCACTGGAACAACGATCTGGAAATAAGTAAAAATGTCTTAAATTAAGTGTATTTCCCCTTAATTTGAGTAGGAAAATAAGATCTGCCAATGGAATGAGGATTTTTACTTTTAAAATAAAAATAATTAGATAATATACACTTGAAATAAGTGCAATTATGTTTTCTAATTTTAAGTGTAAATTGTCTTGTTCCATTGGCAAAATTTCTATTTTACTCCTCAATCCAAGAACAAATGCACTTTATTTATTTTCAGAAAAAATGACTAATCTAGATTTCTATTTTTTCCAGTGTGATTTATAACGCACAGAAAACCTGACAATCCTTCTGGTTCTGAGGATTTCCTGAAAATGCTCTGTTAAATGCATCAAATAATAAACTGTTAATGATTTAATTCATTTAATGTGTGAAATCGTATAAAACATACACTGCAAAAAATAGAAATCTAAATAGGTAAATAATTTTTTTACTAAAATAAGTAATTTTTTTCTTGAATTGAGAAG